CATACGAGTGGTCTATGATTTATTTACCTTTAGGGGTTGTCGAGAAATTCACGAAAAACCGAAACACTGAAAAAAAAACGAGAAAACCGTCAGTTTCTCATGTATGACGTATTGTGTTCGAAGAGAATTGTCGAAGAAAACACTGAAAAAAAAACGAGAAAACCGTCATTTCTCTGTTACGTATAAAACGTTAAGTATGTGTTTTTTTTTTTCAATTTCTACAGCTCATAGCAGGCGACTCGATGACAGCACGAAGATGATATGTAGGCTTGTTGGAAAGACAAAATATTCAGCTTTCATACTAGTGTTCGATGATATAACTATCTTAAGGATTTATCGAGAAAATCACGAAAAACTGAATAAAAAACGAGAAAAAAATGTCTAAGTATCAAATGTCGAACTAAATACTTACATTTCGATGGAATTGAACAAATGTATTCTCAAATACACCGATTTTTCAACGATTGTTATATTTATTTTTCATTTGCACAACATACAGACTGTAGTAGTAAAGTACACATATTGAAAACTTCGATCAAATGTTATCTGATTTAGCTTTTCAACAAAACAGGTATAAACATCGATTATTTAATAGAATTATCGTTTAGAATGAGAAACGGTTTTGTTTTGTTGGTGTTAATTCTCGTAATGTTAAAAAGTAAACAAAACAAGTCTTGAACCAACCAGTCCCAACGATCCTCTCATTTTGTTGATTTTAACAAAGAAAAATATATCGATAAACCACCAAAAAAAAAAGAAACAAAACAATAAGAAATAGTACGGCATGAATTAAAGTAATCTATTGTGCTAGATTGGCATAAATATAATGTCTGGCAAGTGGTACTAAAACATGTAAAAATGACTGTTTCGATAAGAAAATATAAGTACATTACATACAAAAAATAAAATAAAATACAAAATCCCCAACCAATTAACATTCTCCCGCACTTTAAATTTCTCCTCATTGTTATAATTTTATTTATAATTATAATTTCTTTTAAGATAAATTTGAATGAAAACTTCTGAATATTCTAATATTTATTGAATCCTAATTAATTGAGCCCTGCACGAAAAAGAGAGAGAGAGGCCTAAATGCATTATTTATGTTACTCATATTTAATTTTTCCTCAATATACTTTATACACAACTAGAACACTGTTTCAATTTTCACTTACTGCGACCCGCTAACTAAAATAACCTTGGGTCGCCTTGTACTTTTGTTTTTTTGTTTGTTGTTGTTGTTGTCGTCGTCGTTTAGGGGCGAAGGAAGAACCAACCGCACAGCGTAGCGTTTCGTTTCCTTGGTGGAAATTATAAGAAAAGAACGAAACAGAAAATGTGTGTAGTGTAGCTAGTAGCTAGCTATACAGAGACAGAAAGAAAATAATGGTAACTTAAATAAGACAGGAAATTATGCTACCCTAAATACACGTGTTCGATTTGGATGGTCTAACGTCACACACGTAAAACACACACACACACAGCCCCCAAGAAATAAAATAAAAATTGGAAAATAATTATTATGCGATAAAAATATCTCTATTTAAATTTAATTCTCATCCGCCTTCATTCCCCTAACTTCGCCTTTTTGACGCAGTGCCTCCAGTTCCTCCTTGGTTTTATCTTCGATGGCGCGGATGTCTTCCATTGTCAGACCGTGCCAGCGGTCCATCCAACAGAACACTTGCCTATAACAAACAATGTTGGATGAAACGTGAATGCAATTCCACACGAGAAACAAAATTACCTATGGAAATTGGTGAAGAGGCGCTTCTCCTGCTTTTGGATGAAGTTCTCGATACGACTTTGCAAGCCGAACCACTTGAACTCGCACGTCACCAGCTTGTAACAGGTCATCACCGGATCTACCTTGTTCTTCCAGTCCTTTCCCACCAGAGGTCCTCTACCAGTCTTCGTCGACTTGAACTTGGACGGTTCCTCATCAGCCTTAAAGTCGTTCGCACTCACAGGATCATTGGCAATATCTATGTGCACGACCTCGCGGTTCTTCAGCTTGTCAGCTGGTAGTTCATGAACCTAGCAAGAAACCCACAAGAAAATAAATAACTAAATCCGAGATACTAGACGCCACCAATACTCCGTTTTTTTTAACAACAACAACATCATCAACGTGCGTCCATAATATGAATTCACTTACGTTATCTTGGTTTCCCTTATCTCCGATGTGCATACTTTCGATACAAATGACGAAATTATCCTTCATGTATCCAGGATTCTAAAGGCGCGGAAACAAAGAAACAGAAAACAAAAACTGCTTTAAACTTACATTTTCTACATTGCCGACATCTGCATTATGCATGCTTTCGACAAGCACGAAGAAGCGTTTTTTCATGTACTCGGGATTCTGGAAAAATGGACACACACCACTACTAGTTCAGGATGGGAATATGGAAATGTGTAGCCAATTAATATATAATAAGTTCTCAATAAAATATCGATACAAAGTGCTTTGGCAATAGGCAAGTAGCATTAAATGTTTTCACTGTTTACCAGTATCAAATATTAAAAATATCACTGTTCTAGTACAGTAACTATAATGTAAGTCAACTGATACAAACGTCTATTGACCATAGGTCCCTATAATGTAATTATTTGTATAATTTACTTTTTTCTATTTAAAAAAAAACAATAATTTAAAACAAGCTAAACAGAAGTACTGCAGATTTTATATTTTCATAAAAAATATCTAGTTTGGATATAGGAATATGAAAACATAGTCTATCGTCGATAGAGAATTACGATATGGTGAAAGTGTTTTCTTTCTCAAAAGGCATCGATAAACGCGCGATTAAAGTAATGAATTAATGAAGAAGAAGAAGAGCACTTAATAGTGATTGCTACGAACATAATTAAATTAAAATCGTTTAACCTTTATATCGTAAACGAGGAAGGGATCGAGGGCACGTACGGATTTTACGTTACGTTAATTCTACGATCATTATTTACCGTGATGACTGTCCTGCAATAAGGGTAAGCGTTCCAGGCCTCCTCGTGAATTTCGAGGGAACCTTTCGGTGCCATCAGACGGATGTACGAGGGCACTTTACTCGCCAAGTGGTAAATCTTGTAGGTGTACTGGCCGGAAGTGTACTTGCCGCCAAGCAACGGGTAATCCGTGAAGGGCTCATTCTTTAATACTTCGATACCTTCGCCGCCCCCTGTATTATCCTTGGATGCCTCGGCTACACTGTACAACTGAGCCACTTGGTACTGAAAGACAACAACAACAACAACAACAACAACAAAAAAAGATTAAATAGGACAAAAGACTTTTTTTTTTGCATATTATATAAGCTCACCTCCTCGACCGTCAATGGCAAAGTGACTCGGCTAAAATTGAAAAGAAAAACAAAACAATAATTAGTATCGCAATTACACCAAGCATGTATATTTAAACCAAGGCGGGTAGGATGGGTGGATCGCAAAATTCTCAAGGTCGTGTGATAAAATCAAAACAAAACAAAAAACAATGAGATTTATCGTTTTCCTTGCATTGTCAACTAATGTTTACCAATCATAGCGACCGATTTATACTAATTGAGACGACACAATGACAAAAAAAAAATTACTAAACGTCAATTGATTCATATCGATTTCCCACAATCAGCAGGTTACATACAAGAACATAATCATACATACATAGAACACAATCGAAACATGTAGGCCATATAACGTAACGTACACCTAAAGTAAATTTAATTATTCAATATTGCATTTAAATTTTGACAAAAGTTTATACTATCCATCATCATCATCATATATCGCAAAACAAAAATAAATTTTATTGATAACAAGAAAGTCACGATATGAATTCATGATATTAAAAAATAAAAGTTTCTACGAATAACGAATCAAACAAGAAATCAAGAGATCCACGCAACACATTTCGTAAACCTGTTTCACTAATAAATATATTTCGTAATTATTTAAATTAATGTTCGACGCTCGACCCGAATCATTAACATAGGGTTGAAAGTCGAAAGTTCAATACATAATTGTTCAATTAAAAATAGATACATTTTTTCGAAACCTGGGTATACAATTCACTCATATTCACACACTCGAAGGCAATATTTACCAGCTGTACATCATATATCATAATATAATGATTAAACATTTTTAACAATTATTATCTAAAAATATTTAGATCTGTCATTGGAAACGTTTTCGAATAAAAATAATTGCTTGGTATAATTTCATGAATAATTTAAATAGAAAAATATTATATATTCTATCGTGATTTTACCTAACATTGACAAAACAAGAAACCAGTTTTTGTATAAAATTTGCTGAATGGAACTTTTTCTTTTCAAATTGGATCTATGATATTCGTATAAAGTTGAACGTTATCCAATTAATCCAAAAGTAAACATTAAAAAAAAGAACAAATGTTAGATACGCACCGATTGGTGGGGGTGTTAGAAAGAGGTCGTAAATATAATTTTACAAAAATAACGAGTAGAATTATCATAAAATTTGTGTTTCGTTTAGATAACACGCACCTGCACGATGTGATAAAATCACACTAGAGTAGACAAACTGAATGGGATAATATAGAAATCGATTAGTATTTTAAATAATTCACTTCGGTAAGAATATGTAATAAATGTATATATATGATAGAAGAGACCTAAGTGAAAATTTTTTTTTAGACGTACTCTCAATTCTCATTTCGTTCCATTCCCTATTTTTTTTTTGTTTAGACATTTAATCAATATTGCCCTTTAAATAATGATTCATGTACTTATTGATAAATTTTGTATATCTAGATTCGAACATACATCTTTAAATGAAACATGTAAAGGCTATTTAGAACACGTCCAGCAACCTTTACTGATTGTTCCTGAATTGATTAAATGTTCAATATTCAATAAAGCTGATATTTTCTTATTCGACTGATCCCACAATTTTGTTCGACGCGCAATTGTATGCAATTAAACTAATGTAGTAATATTTTGAATGTTGAAATTTGATTTATTTAAATGCAGTTTAGTTAAGCAACGTGTGACCGGAAAAATACTTTGATGGCTCTCTACCTTTTCCAATGATAAAAGAGCATTGCAGTCTTTCAAATGTAAACAACTAAGGATATATTAATTTGCAATAAAAATTGAATAAAACTCTAGGAAATTATGTATTAACTACACTTGCCGATAATTCATTTGCATTTGTAAAGACGAAACTATTTAAGAATTTGTAGTTTTAAAATTCTCCGATCTGATAAATCAATTTCGTGAATGTGTGTGTGTGGCCGTAGTGACCTATTTAAATAGTGCAGATCAATTGCGCGTACCAATTTCAAATAAAATTAACGAAACATCAAATGCATTTGCACAACGAAAATATTCGTTTATAAAGCGGATTTGACAGATAACAAAAAGTCAACCAATTTATTTATGCATGAGAATATCGACGACGATGATATTATTATCATCATCATCACCGGATAATCTTATCTGCACAAAACGAGTGTCCGATGCAATACTACAGGTATGTATGTATGATCAAGTTAATGATGCGGTAGCAAACGCGACTTGCAATTAAAACCAAACGTACCGTATTTTAATGACTGGTCTATGATGATATTGACATGTCCGTGTCGTTATAGCCTAATCATCAATATTAATATTTACGTTGGCGAGGGCGATTTGCAACATGCAACAATCTCGACTATTGGTCTATTAATCGCATCAACAACAACACAAAAAAAATATGACAACTCGATCTGTTCATCGGATTGAGTAAATACATGAAATGTTTATTGACGAGTAAAGAAAGAACCTTCGCGTTCAAAATATTGCAAAAGAGTGTGAGAGAGAGAGAGAGAGAAAAACAAAACGGAATTAAAGAAATCTAAAAGGTCTTACAGAATTTCAATGTCATGTTCGTATAAAAAAAAAGTGTAGTGTGTGGCTAATGATTCATTTGCATAGACGTAGAATTTAGTTTTGCGTTCGTGTAAAGTACAGGTTGTGAAAATGGATTTTGATGTGTGTATATGTGTGTGTGTGTGTATACGAGTGATAAAATTAAAGAAAAAAGCTCGATGGTGTAATAATAATTGCTGAATTGGATGATGAATATGGAATGAATGGTCTAGGCTAGGAGGATGGGTTGTTCTCGGTGCCAAGGCGAATCTATGTTATAACAAGTATATAGGTCATTGTTGGAGAGCACGGTTTGCTTGGAGCTCCTCGACAACTGGCAGATCCAAGTAGGTGTTCTGGGCTTCGCCAGAGGATCAATCGGTTGTGTCGAGGGTGGGTGGGTGTTTGTTTGGCGGGTTGGTATGATGATGATGATGATGTGGAGAGGGTTAGAACGGTGTCTCTCTCTGTGTGTGTGTGTATGTATGATTCATGCTAGGCTCGCTGGGTGCAAGCAAGACTTCTTCCCCATTCCGTGCACCATACATACACACGATCCACGAAGCCCTTCCCGGTGAAAACGAACAAAAGGGGGACACACTTACAATTCTTTGATCAGCATGTTGTCTCGACTGCGTGCTGCACAATATCACTTGTTCCTTCGCGGAGCTCCAACTGATGAATATATATATATATTGTTGCAATTATTGCACGCACATGTGTGTGTCTCTCGAATTAGGGAGATGGTGGTGGTGGTGGTGGAGGAGAGGCAGCCACGCGACGCAACGCAAAGTCCAGCAAAAATCAACCCGACTGCCTCGCTTTTAATTGACAAAGTGATTCGCACACACAATCATACGTACATGCACACACACACACGCACGCACACAAACACACACACACGCAATAGTACGCTTGCGCGACGACGCAACCAAACTGACGTCGATAATTTACGATTTTCAAACGCGACTACTTTCGCGATACGTGCTTTTTTTCAAGAGACGAATACAATCGGCCGGATGCACTTTCCGTATCAATTTCGAATTTGCCACGTCCCACGTATTCCAAAACAACAAAAATAAGTTGTTCTTCGATAGTAATTCAAAAAGAGACCCTCTATATTAGCAATAACACCTGTCAGTGTAGAGTGCGCAAACGAATTTCCGTCATTTCGTAGCCAACATCAGAAAAATTCAATGCTTGGAATCCACCATAATCCATCAAGAAATTGAGAATACATTGTTGCGAATTGGAGATCTCCCCATCAGTAACAGTAGCTTTTCTTGAACGATTTTGAAATGTTTTATGAATTTTTGGAGTCATCTTTAATTTTGCGTAAAATTTTATATTTGAAGTATTTTGTTGGAAAAAAAAAAACAGAAACGACAATTCACTAAGCGCGTAATTATACCAGCAATTTAAACTTTAGTTTATACATTTCGCAACTACCATTTAATGCAATTATAACTTGACTGACAACTTAAATCACTTAAATGCAATGAATATAAATCAAGTTAAAAAAAACATAAAACACAATATGTTTTCACCACTAGTTCACGAATATCAATTGCTATAATTAATATATGATGTTTTTATAATTTATATCGATAAAAAAAAACTATAAAACTATACTCAGCCAGTCAGTCTAAATCTGCATAAGACATGTAACTTTGAAGTTTTAAGTTATTTCTTTCTACAGATGTATACATTATTAAAATATAAATAGAAACACATTACTTGAATTACGATTTTAAATTATGGCATTCTTTAAAAATAAAAAGTGTAAATTACGTGTAAATGAACTGATGCGTTTATTCAAGTTGTGCTTTATTCAACCAGTGTATTACATAGTAAATAATGTCACGTACAAGTAATGAACAAATTTGCAGAAAAATAAAGAAAATCAAACTTTATTTTAAGTATATTAGTTCAAACGGTGGACAACTGTTCGTTTTTTTTATGTTTGTTAGTGTTTATATCTATTCTATCTTACATTTCTTAGTGTATTGCACATGTGCGGAAAGAGTAGTATTATTTTGATATATTTGAGGAAAATCCGCTCGCTTGAATATTTATATAAATTAGAGATTTTTCTACTAGTATATTTATTTATATATTTTAATTCATATTTATTTCTAGCAAAAGTGATAGTAGTAGTATATTTGAAATAATTAGCATCATTGCTAATCGATACTTGAAAAGTTCTAGTAAAGCTAAATTGAAAATCAATATTCAGTATTACCAACTTTGTTGATCTCGAGCCAATCAAATTCCAATAATATTATTTAGCTAAATTTTGAATGCGATTTCCGAACAAATAATAAATAAAGTCAAATAGTAAAATAATTTTCCAACATTTTTGTTTTATTGGAGCAGATCTTTATTTTGTCCTATTTCAAAATCGTGTTTTCAGTATTCTGTTTCTTTTAATATGTATATATATATATATGTCGACTTTTCACAAAACAAATTTCAGTAAATAAATAATATAAAATAAACAAAAAGAAATATATAGAAAAAGAAAACAAACAGACAGACAGACAGATAGACAGACATTGTCCCTACTACAAGTTATCATTACATAATACGTTGAAAAAATATATATATGTAGATCTCGTTTAGACCTGAAACTGATATTAATAGTAATTGATAATAATAATAATATATAATTCATTTGGGGCGGGGAGGAAACAAGAAAATTGTTGTTTTTTTTATTGCAACAACTACACACGCAAATATGCACTTGCTTTAAATGTCCAAGAAAATATTTATCCAATAACATTATTTAAAAAACTAGTTCTGGAAGCGAATGGAGAACGGGATTCGAGTTCACAAAAAAAAATATAAAACACACAGGCTTTGAATAACGGTTCTTCTCGAATAAAACATAGTTCCTTGTTCTGTCTCGATCATTATTAGGACTATATTACGAAGAATACGCTCTTTCCACGTACGGAAAGTTCGAAATTCTAGTGCGCACGATGAAATTGAGACAACATCAACGACAACAACAACAACAGAAAGTTAAAGGATAATAGAAAAAAATAAAAACTAAAACTTGTGTATATATATATATAGATAGATTGATAGATAGATATACTCCAGATCATCATCACGCGAACACTAAGCAGAATATATAATTTCTTATATTGTTTAGTTTCCTTTTTCCCTTTCGACTTGTATCACACCACCTCTCTCTCTATCTCGCTGCTGCTGCTGCTGCGACGTAATCCTCTCGATTTGTTTGTCATCATTTATATATAATCATAAGATATAATACTAAAAACTATGTTGTTGTTTCTTTCAATTCTTTCTTTTTCTTTAAATATACAATATAAACAATAAAACTATACATACTTTTTTTAATATATCACACACTTGTAATCAATTAGTTTTAATTTTCTTGTAATATTCATTTTCTTTCTTTACCTGTCTATATATTATACTCGTAGATATATATATATATTTAGTTTATTTTTCGTTTTTAGATTTCCTAAAAAAGAAAATAATAGAAAAAAAAAACAATGACAATGTCTTTTATAGTGCAAATCAAGCAAACGGTATGAGCAAATTTTCTTACGTAATAAAATATGTTGTGTTTTTTTTTTGTATATAATAGTGTGGAAATACAAACCTGCTGCTGGTTTTCAGGTGGATTTTAGTTTACCGGCAAAGGAACCCATGTACTCTAACTGCTGCTTCCTATGCGCTTCCATGAGAGCGTTCAGCTCCGCCTTCTGCCTATTCAACATCTCTTCAAAGGTTTCATCCTACAAATAAATCCAAATTGACAACAAATCACTAAGAAGAAGCAAATCGCTCGCGCAATATACAATATACAAGAAAGCGTCTGATTCAGAGATTACGTTGAAAAGTTAGTAGTATTTGGTTAATGTTTCTGCAGACAACGAAATAATAATAATAATATAGAATGTATGAGCTTGTTTGTTTGTTTCACCTCCACCAGCTAATAAAAAAAAAAAGAGTAAAAAGAGAAAAAAAAAACAGAAACAGGAATTTAACAAAATTCCTTACCGCTTGTTTAAAATACGTTTCCAAATATTCGAAAATAGGCACTTCTGAAGCAGCAGCAGCATTTTCCCGGCAAGAGCAACTTTTCAGTTCTACCGGATCTTCATCAACATCAACATCATCATCATCATGTTCATCGATATCGTCATCCATGTAATCAAACCGAAACTCGACGAGATCGGCCTCGGAATGGACCGTGTGATAATTATCGTATTCGAGAACGCGACGCGATTTTCCGCAAAACAAATTTTGCATCGACAGAGACTGTTTCATTTTGAATCGGAGCAGATCCGACGGACTGATCTCCTTTTTGATGACAAATTCGCGACTTTTGTTTCGCAATCGAACGGATAACTTTCGCTTGCTGCGCGGCTCGAATTCAACTTCTGGTCCCATCTCGCAACACGACTCGAAACTATCAGCGCTATCACTGTCATAGCAGACGTTTACGTTGGAGACTTGGGGCAAAGGTTCCGTTAAATCTGGACACGAGGTGTTCCTCACCGACTCCAAGTTCTTAAAGCAAGACGCGATGTCCGGAAGGCTGTTGGTCATACCGCCGTCATCGTCGTCGCCATCGGCCATCGGCTCGACAACAATCGAAGGAATTTTACGAAAGATTGAGACGCGACGCACGTTCTTACTACTTAATCTACGAGAATCGACGACGACGACGTTAGGTGGTCGCTTCTTCGGCAGAATGTGCTCGATCTGGACGGCCAGATCTGTAAACGACAACGATTTTTTCAATGCTGCTGCAGATTCAGTGCTACTACCGATTTGCGCTGCCAATTTGCCGCCATCCAACTGCGGAAAAAATTTTAATAAAGAAATACAAAACAAGAAAACAAAAAATATTAATCGACAACACACACACACACACAAATAACTCTAATAACAATAATTAAACAAACAAAATAATAATAATAAGTAGAATAAAAACACATCCGACTCTGTGTGTGTCAGATTGAGTAGTTACTGCGGTGGAAAAACAAGAAAAACATTTATCGAATTAGTTACGAATCTCGGCTAATTGAAATGAAAAACTTGCAACATAATTAATGTACGTATTAATATGACATGGCTAGCCAGCCATTTGTTCAACGTTTACTAACTACTTGATTGAACGAAATTAACTTTATTCTACTTTATGCAAGTATAGTTAGAAACAAAAATACTTGATTTTAGTGTTTTATGTTTCAGTTATGTTCAAATGTAAATCAATTAGAAAACGCAATGTATTTGTAAAAAAAAAACAAATAAATATTCGATGTTACTCGTCAAATTGAGTTGCGCAACCAGGCGGCGACATGTAGACGGACGACTGTGATCTAAACTTGTATTTATACTTGACGTATAGAAAAACGAAATGTTGATGTTATCCTCTGTGTCTTTCGCTTTTCAAAATCGTGGTTTAGTTGCGCAACTGCAACTTGCGTCATAACTATAGTTAATACACACAAGCTACTACAAGTATATGTGGTGGTTGTGTAGGTAGGTATGTGCCATTCATTTAATTGCAAAACTCTACATAGAAAATATTTGATTATGAATCTTACCAAAGGTGCCGAAGAAACTTCAACTAAATCATCTAGAAGAGAAACAAAAATAATTACATACAGAGACAGACTGTGTACATAGTGTGCAACAAGTATTACCTTTTTTAGGATAGCTAGTAGCAACTACGGTCTCTAAGAGCTTCTCAAACGAGTGATTTATAACAGCTGTTATATCCTCCTTCTTTTCCTCCTTGTGGGCTGCTGATGCAGCAGATGCGTTTGTCTCTAATTTACTGCGATCCGGTTCCGTGACTACGCTAACTTTAAACCTAGAAACCCTGCGTTCCTTTTTCGCAGATGCCTCTGCATTTGCTACTGCGGTCTCTTCGGACAGACTCGACTCCAGCAAGTCCACGGTTTTCGGTGGCGAAACCACGCTCTCCCGTCGCGAATTGATCTTGGCAATTTCCGCATTCAACTTGCTGCGGTCCAGTGGCTGAAGAACGTCCAAGTCTTGAATGGGAGATGTCACTTCGGAAGCTACAGCAACAACAGTATCTTGCGTCATCGGAGATTGTTGGATAACGTGTGACGGTTGCTGTTGCTGCTGCTGCTGCTGTTGTTGTTGTTGCTGTTGTGGCTGTTGTTGCGGCTGAAAAATAACAGAAATGGACAACACTTAATTGAAATCGTGATGGGATTAATTACCTTAGCAACATTAATGTCAGACGCAATATTTGGTTTAGGGAACTCTAAGGAAACCAAATTGGTTTGGGGACTCAATGGGCCCTATTGTTATATACACAGACAATGTATAGAAAGAAACACAGACAGTCACATACGCACATGTAGAAAGAGAGAGAGAGAGAGAGAGAAGAATTCAGCCGTAAACAATATATTTTTTTTTACTTACCGGTACTTGTCCCGTCATAGTGATGGAAGATAGCTTTTGCTGGAGACTCTGCATGTGCGCCGAATATTTGGTGTCTTGAGGAGTTCCCGGTTGGCTTCCTTGTGCCGAAGAACTAAACACACAGAAACAAACAAATTGTATATAATCAATAATATTGTACAAATTATTCAATGTACATACCTTTCAGAAATTAATTTGAGATTTGGTAGAGATTTTTTAGTTTCTAATGAGGCATGGGCAGGCTGATGCTGCTGCTGCTGCTGTTGCGTAGGATCTTGCAGTAAAATTTGTTGTTCTATAATAGGTGGAGTCGGTTGGGTGATTGGTGGAGGTTGTTGGGAAATTACGTTGACTGGTGGTAGATTAGGAGGAATATTGTGTTGCTGTTGAGTCGTTACTGGTGGTATCGGTTGCGATATGGCAGCGCTGACTTGAGGCAACGACGTAGACTGAGGTATGCTCTTCGTGTATTGCGAAGCAGTCATCGGAGGTACAATATTGTAAGGCATTTGTTGTGAATATACTGTTGCGATGGGTTTTGGTATGGTATGGGCCGCGGATGATAACTGCGGCAACGAGACCACGTGTTCAGGCAATTGCGGCATTATCTGCTGCTGCTGCAACACTTGTGTAGAGGAAATAGTTGGAAGTGCCGTGGATGATACTGGAACGGTAGCTACCGCGGGAGTGATTATACTAGTTGTAGGAAGACTCGTCGGTTGCTGCGATATTACTGCGGCAGCAACTGTGGTGACCGTAGCCGTAGGTGCATTGGTGCAGCTAGTTTTGGATTCCTTCAGGGAGACGGGTCCGACCTGCTTTAGATTTTCTAAACTAATCTTCAATTGCTCCAAAGTTATTGTCTCGGGTCCGCAAATCACAGCCTCCTCCTTCGGAGCAATTTCCATGAGCACCTCCTGACCTCGTTCCACCTCCGTTGCACTCTTGATCTCCAATGGTACAGAATCCTTTCTCTTCGGTACATTTTCACCCTCACCCTCTTTTGGACTATCAATAGAATCTGCGACCTGCAATGTACAAAATTAAGTAGTTAAGACATTCAAATTATATCTTCTCTCTAATAACCTGTTTATCGGTGGGTATATCGAGTTGACCTGAATTAACTGGACTAACCAAGAATCTAGAGATTTTTCTTTGCGGCGGAACCTTTAATTTATCTTTAGACGCATCGCTTGTCTCCAACTGTTGGAGCTGCGGTATGCAGCAGCAATCGCCCATGTTCGGATCGATTCGTAATATTTTCAAGTCGACTTTCTCGCCTTCTCCGCTCAATTCAATCTTATTCACGCATTCCACGACTAAAGTTGAACTCAGGCATCCTTCGTTGACGGTTGTCGTGCTGGGCACAGGATGTTCAACCTGCTGAACATAAGTGTGTTCAGGTGTATATTCACTGGCAGTGCTAGTTTTCCTAGAAACAGTTCCACTGCTGTTGAGACTTTCCCTGCACTGCATATTTTGTAAATTGCACATCTTCTCTGCCAACGAATTTTTCAAGCCCTGGAAACCAGATTCTTCGCTCATTTTCAGTAACATCTCTTGCTGCTGTTGCTGTTGAAGCTCCTTAAGCTGCTCATTAGTTGAATCATCTCTCTATAAATAGAACATTCCGAAATAATCAGTATTTTATAAAACAATGATGATAATAATAATAATAATAAAGACAAAAAAAACAAAACAAAACAAATATACTTGTCGCGCGACTTTTTCCCCATTAATCTTACCGACTTGTAACGACGATGTGTTTTTCGATGCGGCCTAGTCAGTGAAGCATGTCTAACCTTTATATCGTCAAGTTAGGTTGTTACATGTTGTTGTAGTTGTTTTTTTTTATTTATTGTAATTGTTAGGAATCCAACATAATGATATATGTTAAAAAGAGCAGCATGTAAAATAAATATGTAATGTTGAATTAAAGGAAAGGAAGACCTGGCGGAAGAATAGTCGTTAAATTACCTTCTGCACGTAACGTGGACATTGCGGAATTTTGGCAGGATTTTCCTCCAATTGCCGCAATATACTGTCCAGCTGTTCTGTGAGTGTTTTATGGTTTCCAGGTTTCAAACAATTCTCTTTGATCATGCCTTCGATTATGTCGGAGGACTTTGTGTCGAAACGATTGAATTTGAAACTGATTGCTTTCTGTTTGCAAAGCAGCTGACACTCAACAGTGCCATCGAGGTGTACGTTTTGGACGCGAAGCTGTTTAGACGGAGGCCTTTTTGGCGAACGCCGATGATGGCCAGGGGTAGCTGGGTCAGTGTTTTCACTTACTTGTTCCGTTGAACTCAAATCCGTTTCAACTTGTGTGGTAATGGGCGCTGCCAAAGGATCTTCCCTGTTTCCTTCGACTGATGTTTGCGGAGAATAATCAACTGAATTTTGATAAACATAATCCGGCTGCTGCTGCTGCTGTGGTAGAACTGTCGAAGGTGGAGGTTGAGGTTGCTGTACAATTTGACCGTACACCTGCTGGAATGGTTGTTGGAGAATTTCCGCAGGTTGCGGTGCATTCGCTTGATATGGGGCGTACACTTGAGCAGGTGGTTGTTGTTGGTATTCCATGATAGCCGTACCAGTAGGTTGCGACGCTGTAGACATTCTCCTTTGGTCAATTGCGGTGACATCGTAATTTGTGATTGGTGGTAGAGAAGCTGTAGATAATCTTTGATGCTGCTGCTGCTGCTGAACCGAAGATGTTGGTTGTTGCTGTTGATGTTGCAACATCAATGCCATTTGCTGGTCATATTCACTCATATTTATCGGAGCCATATCTCCAGATAACCTATGTACATTCTTTTGTTGATCAACGGCAGTTTGCGAAGCATGCTGCGGAAAATCTATTGGTGGCGGTACAATGTGTTGGATATGTTGGGCAACTGCTTGTTGTTGGATATGTGTTTGCACCTGCTGCTGAATCTGCTGAGGAATTGGTTGTTGTTGTACATGTTGTTGAGTAACTGGCTGCTGCTGGACATGTTGACCCACAGGTTGTTGAACAACTACAGGCTGTTGCTGGATGTGTTGCGGCGCTGCCGCACTCTGCTGTTGACTCAACAATTGTTGCTGCAGAAGCTGCTGCTGCTGCTGCTGTTGATACAACTGTTCTTGTATCGATTGCTGTTGAACATAATCCGGAATTCCGTAATTTATTTGAGTCTGCTGAGCCGCAGGTTGTTGAACTTGCGCTTGAGGTTGTTGTTGTTGAGTCTGCAATTGCTGCTGCTGCGTTTGCAGTTGTTGCTGCTGCAACTGTTGCTGTTGAAGTTGTTGTTGTTGTTGCAACTGCTGTTGAGCGAGTTCTTGAGCAGCTGCTGCAGCTGCGGCGGCTACGACAGCATCGTGTTCTAATATCTGTTGCAAAGGAGGTCGACTAGTTGTGCTCAATCTATGATGTAACTGCGATTGTTGATCGTCTTGCGGAGGTACAACCTGCTGTGTTTGTTGTTGCTGCTGCTGCTGCTGTTGTTGTTGAGACTGCAATTGCATCAGTTCTTGCACATTAGGAGTATGTGTTACGGAATTCCTATGCTGTTGCTGAATTTGCTGTTGCTGTTGAATCTGCTGTTGCTGAATCTGCTGTTGTTGCTGAATCTGCTGGTGCTGTTGAATTTGGTGTTGCTGCTGTTGAATCTGCTGTTGCTGTTGTTGAATCTTCTGTTGCTGTTGTATCTGTTGTTGTTGCTGCAACTGCTGTTGCTGCTGCTGCATCTGCTGCTGTTGCTGAATTTGCTGTTGTTGCTGCTGCTGCTGAAGCTGTTGCTGTTGAATTTGCTGCTGCAGCTCTTGAATACTTGGTTGCGAATAGTTGAGAACCCTGTGTTGCTCCTGCAGCATTTGCTGTTTCTGCATGTCCATTTGCGAATCGACGCTTAATCGATGCTCAGGTTGCGGCGGCTGCTGCGGTTGAGTCAACATCTCAGGTTGAGAAACAGTGGACAGACGATGCTGATCTTGCGGTTGTACTTGAAGCAACTCCGGCTGCGGCGGATATTGCGGAACGATGGTAGGTTGTTCGTTAGAGCTCTGACGTTGCAATGGAGCTGTCGGAGGTTGCGGTTCGTACTGAGGTTGTTGTTGTTGTTGTTCTTGAGCTGGTATCACAGAGGGTGGCTGCTGATAGGCAAAGTTCTGTGGGACACTCATCTGCTGTTGATAGTTGGGAACGGGCTGTTGCTGCTGCGGTTGCGACTGTGCTTGAATTTGCACCAACTGCGATTGCGGCGTGGATTGGGGGTATGCCGGTTGCGAAGGTGCCGCCGGTTGTTGAACTGGAGCAGGTGTGTAAGCACTTTGCTGAGCCGGTGCCGGTGTGTAAGCACTTTGCTGGGCCGGTGCCGGTGTGTATGTCTGTTGAGGAGGCGGTGCCTGTTGACTTGGAGCCGGTGTATAAGCAGCCTGCGGTTGCTGCTGTTGAGTGGACGCAGGTGTGTACGTTGGTTGTGGCTGAGGAACAGTCTGTGCTGGTGCAGGAGTGTAGCTAGCAGCCGGAGTCGGCTGCTGTTGTTGTTGTTGCTGCTGCTGCTGTTGTGGCTGTGGAACATACGTCGATTGTTGAGGTTGTTGTTGCTGCTGCTGCTGCTGCTGCTGTTGTTGCTGCTGCTGTTGTTGCTGCTGCTGCTCCGCGATTTGCTTCTGTTGCAAAAACTGTAAATATTGCAACTTTTGCGCCTCCTGCTGTTTCTCCTGCTCCAGTTTTTCTTTGGTTATTTGCGCGATTTGCGCCTTCAGTAGTTTAGCTACAGTTTTAGCATCGTCTTCAAAGATGATGCCAGACTTAGCCTGAAACACGATTACATTATTTACATTTCGTCGGATCATAGAGGGAAAAAAAACAAGTTTACCATCTCTTCAGCGATTACATCGAAACGATCCGTTTCAATATCGAATTCGAACTGTATAGCCTCATTCTCTTTATGCTTGTGAGTCCTCTTCTTCGGATCGATTACGCGCAACCGGAAAATCACCTTGCTGTCAATTTGATTAACCAAATCGATCTTCAAGCCGACGTCTTCTTCGAAAAACGGATGCACCAAGAGTTCCTTCACTTGAGGCCTATCTTCTTTACGCGGTTTAATACAGCTTTCTATCACATCCCTCACCTCCGGATTTGCGACTTTCTCGAAGCTCGCCGGTTTAACGCCCTATGTGAAATACGAAATATTAGGAAAAGAAACAAACTGTTTACTGTGTGTATCCATGATGATTATATTTTGCGATATATATATATATATGTATGGGGGATGTATGTGTCAACTTACGGAAATGACTTTTTTGTAAATCTGAGCCGGTCCGTTGCATTCCGAATAAGGATATTCACTCGTTGCCATCTCCAACATGCACATACCAAACGCATAAACGTCCACACCTTCGTCGTAATGCTCTTCGTACATTTCAGGCGCCATAAATTCGGGCGTTCCGATCACCTGTTCAGATATAATAATAATTATTATTATTATAATTATGTGAATGATGAACGATGAACGATGAAAGATGATGATAAATATCTTACCGATTTAGCAAAACTCCGATTCTTCAGTGTGGCCAATCCTAAATCTCCGATTTTCACTGATCCCGTTGTGCCGGTTATGAAAATGTTATCGCACTTCAGGTCCCTGTGAATAATGGGTGGACTGCGCGAGTGCAAGAATGCCAATCCCTTCAGGATCTGTCTGCACCAGGATTTCAAAACTTTTGGATTGATCTTTTTAAACCTTCTCAGATATGTCTTGAGTGTACCGCTGAGCATCAGTTCGGTGACCAACACGATGTTTTTCTTTTTCGAAATGATCGATTCCCAGTAATTATAGAACCTGACTATATTGGGATGCTGCAGTTTCTTCAACATCTCTGCTTCTTCCCTGAATCTCTGTCGCTCTGCTTTGTTTAGTTTCTTCTCCTGCAACTCGCACCACGCAACCGCAACACCGGTCTGAGTATCTAATCCTCTGTATACAGTTTTGAATGAGCCCCGCCCAATTTCCTCTTCGTACTTGAAGAACCTCCCACACGGACTGACCGCAATAGGTTTGTAGACGTCATCATCATCTTCGATTGAGTATTCCTTGTCCTGTTTCGTGAAGACGATGACCGGTTGTTCGGTTATCAGATCCGGATTATTTTCAGCAATCTCAACGTTCTTGTGCAAAATATCAATGTTTTGGTCGGTAATCTCCACCATTTCCGCATTGCTCATCAGATTAAATATATTCTTGGGCAGATTATACTTGGCATCATATGGAATCAATTGCATCTCACTTTGCGGAAAGTCAGAGTCGTCGTCGGCGTTAGAATCGGTTTCGACGGGAATGCAACGCGTTACGCCACCGTGCTTCACGGACTTATCTTTACGCTTCCTATTGCGTTTGTCTGCCACAATTTTGTCCACGTTCTCTGTTATCGTGGACAAAATTTCGCCAGCGCAATGTTCCGCGTCCGGAATTTCCGTGCAAGAGTCTTGGTACTCTTCATAGTTCTCGCCGAATTTCAGGGCATCGATGATGGAATTGCTGCTCGGGGTATGCGTTATCTTGGGTACGTACATGACGGATACGACGTTGCTGTTTTCGTTGGCTTTGGTTGTTGGACTCTGGCGTTCCTTATCGTCGTCCGATTCGGTTTTCCGATGTTGCTTTTGACTCATCTCTATGCACATAAGACGATTGTAGGTGATCAGGCGCATTGCTGTGTCCAAGATGTCATTTATGAATGCGCTCGCAAAGCTGTGCAGTCCCTTCTCTGAGTTGTCTTTCATTTCGACCTTCTTATCGAGCGGCATCATGGCTATACTCTCATCCCGAATGAAATGGACGTTGTCGAAACTTTTGCGGAAAACTGCGAGATTATCGATAAAATCATCGTACGGTAGAGAGGAACACGATTGAGTTCTACCTTTTTTCACTTTCTTGTCCCGCTTGTTGATGTCCTCTTCCTCTTGCACTTTGGTGAACTGGTATCGATTCACGTTGGTCACTGTCGTAGTATACCGCTTAGTCTCCACTGTAGTCTTGCTAGTCTTTATCGAAGTTTGCTGCTCTTCCGGAGTGGTGTCGCTGGAGGCAACCACCTCCTCAGTGCTGCTCTTCTTGCGCGGCTTCTTTTTGGCACCAACTTTACCCTTACCCTTCTTCGACTTCTCCATCGTGAACCATCCTTTAGTAGTAGTAGTAGTAGTAGTCTGCGGCCCCTCTTGCTCTTCCTGATCTATGAACTCGATGTTATCTAGCTGGGCATGCAAAGCGTTACCATTGTCTGGGGAGGAGCGGCCAATAGAGGCGGCCGCATCCTCCCCCGTTTCATAGCTCCGCCCCGAGGTCCCCGACGGCGTCCTCTTGTGTTCTTTCTTGGCCCCACTCCCTTGTTCTGTTAAGGATCGCCGGAAAGCATTCCGCAACGAACTCGACCTCTGTTCTCTACTCGCCGATGATGCGACGCTCCCTTTACGAGGAATCGTAGTATTAGTACTTCTACAAAATAAAAATAAAAAAAAAATAAAAACATAACAAACATATTAATAAACACGATGAAGTGGACAAGATGAAACTACCTAAAAAGTTTCAGTTTCATCACTTACAAGCTGTTTTCAAATTTGGGGCACGCCTGCCCCGTGGTTTTACCGATGACGTGTTGGCAGCCAAAACACCTGCGGCTTCTTATCGACGATGGATTTCCGGTGCCCTTTTTACCGTTACCATTTTCGTTACGATTGCCGATCAACCCCACGCAACGTTTCGACTCGTCAAGTTCCAGAGTGGACACGCCCCCGACAATCGTAGCAATAGCTTCGAAGCTCCGCCCACTACAAAAACACACAACACACATTTTAGAAATTATCAGTTCTAATGACTTGACTTGAATAAACACATATATTTAATTATTATTTAATGGAAGAACCAACAATAATGAATAATAAACAAGCAATACAAAATGTTTACATACTTTGAAAAAGCCATTGATTTTATTACTTTTACTAATTCAACATAGCAGATTGATTTTTCACCTAAAAGTAGAATTATATACATATATATATATATATACTGATATACTAATTAACTACGCTTTCAACAATTTGTACTCTGATTGAAAATGAATCAATAGAAATATGGAATTCTCAATAGATAACATAGAATATTCACTAATATCAAATACACACACACACACTGTAGAATAGGTTAAGTACTGTATAATGTGCACCATACAAATGGAACACCCTGTATACACACACACATATACTGTCACACACTGACAGACCTGTCAAATTTGGCATTGAATCAAAAATAATAAAAATAATAATGGGGGCTCCTCTATGTGTATATTCTCTGCTTCATTTTGGATACGGGCTGAGACGGAATAAGCGATGCACACTAATAGGAGGTCTTTGATAGATATTGTTGTTTATGATGATAATGATGATGGTGATGATGAGATTATGGTGATATTTACCCAGTACGCAATTCGCTGTTTGGCAAGCAATAAGTGCGAGAGAGAATCGGAATAATGTCTTTGGCGAGCGAGCCGCAACAACGATACGATGTATTTTTTTTTGACACTCTTATTCCAATTTGTGCGAGACCGGCGATACTGCAGCCCTTCTTGCGATCACCACACACAGGGCCAACTCAGAGCACAGATTTTAGTTTCATGAATCCAACAGTATTTTCTCCGCAAATGCAATTCGGATGCACGAAAATGACAACACCCTCGCAAAGAGACAGCAGACATACACACATACATATACAACATACACACACACACATACAGTCAAACACACGCAGCGCAAATCTCTCGGTCGTCGGTAGTAATTACAAGCCGACAACCCCAGGTGTCGCCGTCACCGTCACAACCGCACCGAGCACGCACGAGCGCACAACATAACCCAATCAGAGTTACCAATCTTAGCACCATATCACTTTCATTTCCAAAACAAATCAACCAAATCCATTATGATTATACCACCACCCCCTCAAACCTCTGACTCGGCAGTATATAGGATTAATATGTATACATAATGAGACTTAGTGTTGGAATTCACTAAGAAATCATATTGGCAACACTATTTATTTGTCATTTTGTCCTCGGCAATTGACATTGACAATTCCACTGCTTTTTTTTTGACAGTACCTAGCGATTTAGTTGGGTTACTTTTAGGTTAGTTATGGCGAAATTCATAGCGCAGTTAATTGTGGCCGGCTCGCAAATTGTCGGAAGGGCGTTCGCGAGGGCTTTGAAGCAAGAGATCGAAGCTTCGCAAGAGGCTGCCAAACGCCTAGGGAACACGAAGACGCGCGCCGAAAGAATTGCCAATAACAAGGTCGGTTTGTCCCTTGACGAAGCCAAACAAATACTGAATGTGGACGATTTGGATAAGGAGCAAATCCTTAAACGATACGAATCCCTGTTCAAATCGAACGAAAAATCCAATGGGGGTTCCTTCTATCTGCAATCGAAAGTCTTCAGGGCAAAAGAGAGACTAGATCTCGAGTTATCCAAAGGAGGAGGAGGAACAAAGGAAGACGAAAATAAGACGTAGCTGTTCATCATCCCCAAGTTTTTTTTTAGTAATCTAGTTAATTATGTACATATATAGTGAAAAGAACATTTAAAATAAATGTGTTTGTTCTATTGCCGTACCACTGAACTTGCTTCTTCAACAGTTTTTGACTTGTGAGATCCATCACAGAACGGCCTGTTGTTTGTGTGCTTGCAATTACACAACCAATAATCTTTGCTTTCAGCTACTGCAAATCGAATAGGCCTAAAACAATAAATAAATGTAATATTCTCTAAAGTGCTTTCATTCACTTTCGACTCACTTCAATTTAATTTTCAATTGATTAATTTTATGAGTTCCATCGCACATGGGTTGAGTTTTCGATTTACCGCAAGAACACCAAGAGTATTTCTTTCCTTTAAAACAATAATCGTGATGGAATATAATATCATTTTTGAATCTGCAACACCTTTATTATTTACCTGCTTCTAAGGACATTTTGAAAGGCTTCTTATCGTATACGGCACCACATTCCGTTTGTTTATCAGCCGAAATTGTGTCTACCAATATATTTTTTGGAATTTCTGTGGAGAAAGTGATCTAAAACAAATTTTTGCATTTTTAAGGTTATGTTCGCATATGTTGATTTGCAAAGACCAGCTTTTGTTACCTTCGTCATGTTGTTTACGTTTGTAAACAATTTAAGGGTTTTGAAAGTTTGTTTTGCAACTAAACGATTCATCTTATGAAAATTTCACCCTTTGTTTTTAAATTACAAAAATTTCTGATACTGAAAAGTTATCACCATAAAGTAGTAGTAACTTTTTATAGTACCAACCATTTTTTTCAATTCGTTTTACAGAACCAACTTATTTTGTTTAATATATTTATTATCTAAATCACGTGACGCAAAATCGCCAGCAATTTATTACAATATAAAAGAACGTTTAATACAGTGCAATTTTTATATTAATATTATTAGGGGAAATGTATGTTGGGTAACATATATTAATTAGTTGTAGTTATGTAACATAATATTTTTACAGTTGTACAAAAATACATACTGAAGATTTAATTATATACAAACATACATTAAACATAGAAATTAAAATCCAATTGGAATGTTTAAAAACAAAAAAATAGAACATTGTGTATAAAAATGAATGCATATAATTCATAAGGATTGAAAAAATATTGATAGAAAATGATTTGTACGCGTACTTTATTGATATTAACTAAATGAGAATCACATGATTAAGGCGAGAGGAATGTTTTATTGAACTCAATTGGCTGTAAAGTTAACAATCATCAGTAAATTAAGATTCTAAGGAATGTACGAATGTACATGGTTAAATTGTTGTTATTGAAAAATAACTATAAAAGTTAGTAAAATATTATTTACCATGTTAGTAAATGAATAGAATAGATAACTTTAATTGAAGCAATAGAGAAATTCAAGTATTTTCGTTTCTTTCCATAAACCCATTTAATTTTAATCTTAATAAACTGATTGAGTGAAAATTTTCGGTTATAACTGAATATGATCGATAATTATTACATAAGATATATTTCAATGTGTGTGTCTGCATTTAACGTCGAGTATATCTTAAATCCATTAAAAAAAATAAACTAAAGTGTTCTCCTCAAGTGACTGAGTTGTAAAAAAGATAATGAAGAATTGGAAGGATGTAATGAATCACGGACGTAACATAAAATTCCCCAGGCAACTTGCAACGACGACGACGACGACGACAGCTGCTTTCGAGTGAGAGAAGTGGAGTGGAGAGAAGTAGGCGGAGAATTGAGTTCTCATTGCAATAATTGGAAATTATAAAAGAATTAAAAATTCAAGTAAATCAAAAGAGAGAGATAGAGAATTGGAGAAAAGTATCAGGAACGCAAATATCTTTATCTATTAATTACATGTGCATTTCGATAAGGAAATTAAACAAACAATGGGCCTGGACGGCGATTCCCCCGTGCATTCAGTTTGGAAGAACGATCGTAAGCCATTTAACCTATTTTTAGTAGTGCCTACTACGAGTGTAGTTGTTTACTTATATACATCTCGCATTGCCATGCATTTCGGCACCTCATTAGATCTTATTCTGCTTAAAACGAAGGAGTATGTGAATCTGCAATTGTACCCGAAATATTGGGACATCATCAAATGTACGTTCAATTTCGAAATTCGGATATTCGCCTCCACAATGAAATACTATCAAAATATTATGAAAAGGGTAACTACATTACAATGTAAACAATAAAGTTTGTTCAACCCTCATCTGGCAAACACTCGCACAACTCTACTCAACTCACAATTCAATGGACTTTGTTTACTAATTAATCAATTTGTTGTTGTTTTTTTTTTGTTGTTTTGACATTGATAAGTATTTTTAACTTGTTAAAAATGTTTACTTGATTTAAATCATGTCTACTTCTTTTCCTATTTGATTTATGAGTAACATTTGAGTCATAGAAACAAATAGTTCAGATCCATATTGTTATTTTTTTTTTGATTACTTTGAAACACAAAGAGTGAAATTAGCAATTATTGTAATATGTTTTATTTTTATAGTATATCGCATGCAATTGAATGCCCCAGTTCCAGTACCAATAATATGCGAGAATTATTTGCCCGGCGTGCCTAGTTATTTGGGTAGAGATTATCATGGTGACATCTCTCACATTGAGGCAAACAATTTGTTAGCTCCGCATCCGAACGGCGCCTATTTAGTGAGGAGTAGCAGATCTGCCAATGGGGAATTCCATACGTTAAGTCTCAAGTAAGCGCGATCTCTTATTATAAAATATAATATGTCTAAATGGAACGCTTTTATAGATTCAATGATAGAATTCATCATTACAAACTATTTTACGAAGTGAACGCGGGCCTGTACGTAAGGCAAAAGAGATACGATTGCGTTAGGTCTTTGGTGGCCGACGGTCTGGTCACGATGTATCTGGAACTGAAAGCTCCTTTGGTGCTGGAAAGACTTCCTACCGCCAACTACCAAGAGAGCCCGTACATGACATTGAACAAACGCAAACTGAGAGCGCTGACAAAGGAATACGCAAGGTATCTATACTACTAGCTAGCATCTCTAATATAACACTTGATGTGATTGTTTTGCCAAAAAAAACGAAGTATTCTAGGAACAGCAATTTGCAAGCCCAACCGATTTGGAGTCCGAACATAAACGACAACTACGAGAAGTCTCACACGTTCAAAACGAACACGTTCAAGGGCTTGAACTGGTGCGAGCTGTGCGGGAATTTCCTGTGGGGATTCACGGCTCAAGGTGTACGCTGCGACGATTGCGGAATGATCGCGCACAGTAAGTGTTTACCAGGAAAAATGAAATCAAAGGAATGAATGAAATCAATTGAAATTTAATTTAGATAAATGTTCCGAGAAGGTTCCGAATTACTGTATACCCGATTTGAAGTATCTGCGCGGTGTTTTCGGAATCGAATTGACTACCTTGCTGGCCGCACACCGTTCAAATTTGCCTTTCGTGCTGACCAAATGTGTGTCCGAGGTGGAGGCCAGAGGTTTAACGGTGGAAGGTATCTACAGGTTGAGCGGTTTCGCGGACGAAATAGACGCTATAAAAATGGCATTCGACAAAGGTGAGTTGGGTTTCCTCTGAAATTCGATATGAGTAATTGGAAAATTTAATTACAGATGGAGATAAGGCAGATTTGAGTCAAGAGAAATATCCGAACATCAATGTGATCACCGGTGCGTTGAAACTCTATTTGCGATTGCTTCCCATTCCGCTAATTACGTTCATCGTGCATCCGATGCTCGTCGAATCGTTACGTGAGTTTCAATTGAATCGTTCATTACAACATACACTAACTAAACTAATTGCATTGCTTTTCAGAGCTGAAAAACGAGGACGCCCGAATCAAGCACATCCGTCTGTCGCTCAAATCGATGCCCAAGCCTCATTACGATACGCTCAAATTCATGATACAACATTTGAAAAGGTATATTCAGAAATTTACTTATAATCATCATCATCATCATGATGAACTGCTGTTTCAGGGTCAGCCAACACTCGGCTATAAACAAAATGAATCCGCACAATTTGGCGACTGTCTTTGCGCCGACTTTGATCGGCCCACCAGAATCTTCAAATTCGATGCTGCCGGACATGACTGCTGACATCCTTCTAATTGAAAATCTCATTCTGCACTGCGACGCAATATTCGCAGAATCAAGATCGATTGTTGTATAGATCGGGGGGACAATTTTATTTGGTTTCAAACACAAATGAAATATTAAAAAAAAAAGTTGTGATATAGATGTGTTAAGAACACGTCCAGTATTTTTGATCTGTGCATTTATAAACGTTTTCATTTTCCATTTAATTTATTTTATAATATATACATTACTTTCTAATTTATATTTATGTAACTTTTTATACGTTTATACAATACAATTAATCTGATTAAATAAATAATTTTACTTTTATTTTTCAATCAATTAAAGTTTGGAACAAGTTTGAAAGTGATTTTTAAAGCAATTTTTATATGGATTTTAAGAAGAGAGTAGTTCAAACTTATTGCCATAATTGATTTGAACTATTTTTTTATTTTCGTGTGAGGCTAATTTCACGATTATATATATCAAATTATATGTCAAATTCAAAACAGAATTCAGTTAAATTTACGCTTTCTTTTTAAATGATATAGGAAATGTTACACGAGGTGTTATTTTCGCTGTGGCATTGCCCTGGTGATCTGTTTAAGGAAAGCGAAGAAAATGTACGTGTTCTGGCTAATCTAGCAATTATATTCATGTAATCATCCCTCATTTTAGGATTGGGTTGAATCCATTTCCATGCAGGAATTCCTTCATCCTGGCGAAAAAAAACTTCTGCAGAAAATCCTGAAAATATCACTCAATTACCATAACATAGAAAAATTCCGAAAGTCCATCGATAGCTTGGGTCAATGGGGAGTTGCTCAAATGAAAGGTAGGATAACTCTGTTAGATGATTTGTATGTTTTTGAATTAGCTCATCCGTTTCAGATAATATTTGCATAATCCAAGCTGATTCATACCTGATTGTCTTTTGCAATGGCTTGGATAATGTTCTGGAAGATTATCGCAAGGAAATTATTGGATTGGAAGAGAAGTTCCTGGAAAATCCACATTTAACATTGACTTATGTTCTCGCCACTATGGAGAAATATGTCATGCTCTTTGATATGATTAAATCTATGATTCGAACAATCACGAATGAGCAAATCCATGGATGCCTTTTGATGGGCCGTCTCCACATGTACACAATTTCTGGAATTCCACAAATTGTTACAGCGGCAAACAAGTAAGATGTGGTGAAAATAAGAAACATGTATTAGAAAATGACTGTGTAATGTGTTGTTTTAGAATAATTCAAAGTGTGAATACAATGTTCTACAGGCATCTGGCAAATTGGATTATATATGGAGATTTAATGGATGCGAACAACGAATTCTTCATAAGAGATTGCAAATGCGATGACGAGAATTTTCAGTTTCCAGAACAGATCGAGTCTGTTCAAAATGTGGATTCACACGTTTCTAATATAGTATAGTTGTTGTTCGATGAATATTGTATTTGCATTAATATAATAGAATCTAATTTTAGAAAAAGTCTCGAGTGCGTAAACCGTGCACTGTGAGGAAATTTGAGATCAGACCTGATATGTTACCATCGATCCTTCCGTTGGAAACGGCTGAAAGTATTTTGTACATGGGACGTATAGTGTGGATCATAAGCAACGACCCAAAACGTAAGGACGATGTGCAGAAGATGAAATTCAGACGCGATATTTGGGAAGGAAGGAGCGTCGAGTTCTATAAGAAGATAGAACAGCTGGAAACTCAAACATTCAATTTAGTCAATTTCGAAAGGACCATTCAAGTGTGCAAGAATACGGTCACAAATGTAAGCTACATTTTCATACCGTTTGAACAAGTTTCTATTTTATTTTTTTAGTATTTATGGGGTGTTATGGTGGAAGAAGCTGAACTTTTGGAGCATTTGCAAATAATAAGGGATTATTATGCCTTGGGTCGTGGAGAGTTATTCCAACAATTTATCGTCGTCGCTGAAGAACACCTCAAGCAAATTCCAAATTATTATATCGTAAAGAATCTCAATACAGTGTTCAACGAAACTGCGCGAAAGATGTACGGAGAAAATGATAAATCGTACATGAAATTTGAGCTTACAATGCCGAACCATTTGGAATCGAAGAACTACGGTAAGAGAGAGAGAGAGAAAAGAAGAAAGATTAATAAGAAGGATTATAATTTCGCTTTCGTTAGCATCTAACCCGATGTCCAATTTGGAAATATACTTTGATATTAATTGGCCATTGCACATCATATTCCATCCTAAAGTGATGTCGCTTTACAATAGACTGTTCAGTTTCCTTTTGAGGTTGAAAAAGACGCACATCGATTTACACACATTATGGTTGAATCACATGGAGAAAAAAGTGAAAATGTAATGTAGGAATTAACGTGGAATTGAAAAGGAACAATGACATTAAGATAATTTCAGCGATCGAGGTGTTTGGACATTGAGGCATAACTTGATGTTCCTGGTGAACAATCTTCAATACTACTTTCAAGTCGACGTTATCGAAGCCCATTTCTCGCTGCTCAAAACTGCGATCAAAAGCGCAACGGAATTCAAAGATATCATACGTATGCACTCGACTTTCTTAAGTAATTTGATGAGCAAAACGTTTGTAATGTGTTTGGATGATGTATGTAGTTAATATTAATAGTTGTTGCGTTTTTTCATATTAATGAAATCACTATGCATTCCAGAATACTGGCAAGGATCGAGGGAATAATCTGTACCAATTGCCTTCGTTGAATTTTGAAAGAGAAAACATTGTGAGATTGAGAATGCTTGTGTGTAGTGTGTTTATGCCATTATTGTATTTATTGTATATTTCAGGTTTACAATATAATCGTACAGCTGTTGGAGCTCTGCAACAAGTTCTGCTTGTTGGCATCGACCTGGAGCGGCGAACTCTCCGATCTAGAGCTGAATGACCTGGAGGATTTCCAAACGCAATCGGACACCATCACCGAGACTCTGATGAGAGCGCTCTTTTCTCTCCACGAGAAAGTCTCCGGTCACCATCTGTTGCAGTTGCTGCACCGGTTGGACTTTAATCGATGGTACACGAAGAGAAAGCCCGATTTTAATATTACAATAGGTTGAATACGAGAGAGAAAAAAAATCCAACTTGTTTATTTATTTTGTTGCTGCTTATAATAATAATTTAATATAATAGTATATGAAAACGTACTTTTTTTTTCTTTTACTTCGTCTTTTTCATTACTTTCATGAACAAAACCATATCTGCAATAAACATTTGATTATTTAGTAAAATAAAAGGTTTTTTTGTTTGTTTGTTTTGTACTTACTAATGAAAACAGCTAAAACAATGACTAACATTATCCACATCCAACATTTGCAGGCTCTCTTGGAATGCTCCGTCAATTTGCTCGATTCCACTTTCAGTCTTGAGAAATTCTGCTCGGTCATTTGTGATGATTTGCTTACGACTTCCGTGTCCTTCTTAATAATTTTATTTGCCAGCTGCGATTGCTCCTTCAAGCTCTGCGTCAACTGCAACATATCGTTTGCAATCTTCTCCTGCGCGTCTTGGTGATAATGTATCATTTGATCCAAATCATCAAGTCCGTCTTGTTTATCTGCTTTCCTTTGCCTCAATCCTAAACAAACCTCAATCAAGCCACACTGTTTGCAATTGCAATTAATAATAGCCGTACCCAACAGTTCCATTCTAGCAATTGGTTCCTCATTGATCTTTTCATTTAAAAGAAACTGCCTATCACTGTCTGTCTCCATACCAGCGGACACTTTGACATTGTAAATGCGCCTTTTGTAATCATTCAATATTTCTTCATGAGGCTTTCTGAAGATTATAACAAAATGTTAATATTTATTTGCAAATGTATAATAATGATATTATCAATAAAGAAGGCAAGTTTTTAATTAGCTATTAATTAATAAAAGAGTAAAACTCACTCTGGAACCTTCAACATGTCTTTCAACATATCCTCCAACGAGTTAACATATTTTGGGAATCTGTCGTCCTTCTGATTGCTGCTGATCATCAATTCACATTTCAACAGGAGCCTTCTCAGATTCACCTCTTGCCTGGTCAATCCCATCTTTGATAACTCTGAAATGTTCAACTATTCCCAAAGACATTTAACAACTGTTTTAATAAACAACTTAATGAATAACTTACCCTGAATGTTAGAAAGTTACTGGCGCATCAATCAATACTGTATTTTGTTCATTGAAAATAATTTAAAAACTAGAACTAATCATACAATTATCATATCACCGTGGCTTTTAACTGCAGCTGCTGCTGTCATTATCCATCACAAAACATCATCATTGCATACAACTGTCATGCGAAATGTCATTGCAGAATGTTAACTATAAAATTTGAAATTTTTAAAACTTTGGGAAAACTCGATAAAATTGCAAATTACAACAGCGTTGAATGCATGGGTGATAGTTTTTCTTTCCATATATAAAAATACGTATTTTCAATTGGAATTAATGTACAACAAGTACAAGAAAAATATCAGTTATTACATATTTGATTTGGCAGCAATGGAGTTTTTCAAATAGTTGTCCAATAACATAACCAAAAATTTTGAACAATATAAAACATATGTTGTTATCTATAATGTTGACTTATTGGACAATTTATTAATTTATATAAAATTTGTTGAGCAGAGCTGATGAAGTGCTGGAAAGATGGAAGAATTTGATTACAAGTTGAACCAGAACAATGCGATTCTCATAAGTGGAGCCGTGAAGGGCATCATCGAGAAATTAACCAAATTGAAGGACTGCGAGGACAAGAACACTTTCCAAAAGAGTCTCATTTACTTGAAGGAGAAATGCTTGACGGGAAGCGACTGCCTAACGATTACTGCTGCCGCCGGTTTGTTCAGTTTGTGTTCTGATGGGGTTGTCTCCATGGAAGAAGTCCTTAAGGACTTTGTTGCTTCTATTCAACACATCAGGTAATTGATAAATTTTGGTTAGTCTTTAATTATTTAACACATCATTATTCATTGCAATATAATATTTGGTGTAGAGGTTTTTATGAAATATGAAAAGAAATTTGAAATTAGTGAGGATATGATGTTTTATCATAGGCAACCAGAATTCCATCTGTGTGATGAATTTACGGTATTTGTCTTTTCAAAAATTTGAAAATAAACTAAATTTTAAATCATACATTATGAAAATATTTAATATTAGTAGATTTTAAAGAATATTTTTTTGTAGCAACTTTAGCGGTGTATTATATTTTCTATTCATGATGATGGATCATCCGACGAACAGTTCCATGAAATACGGTTTGTCGGATAATCAGCATCCTTTAATTGCCGTTCTTAATCGGGACCCAAAGGTTTGGCCGCTGGTTCTGGCCAATATTCGCAATCGAAGGATCAATGACCATGAGTGAGTTTCAAAAATATATACATCAGGTAATTGCGAATCAATACAATTGTTGATTATTTCAGGAAGCGTCTAGTCGAGCAACTTAAACCGTTCCTGCTGCACGTCTTGTACGATTACGAGATGAAATTCGACGAGAATTTTCAGTATAATTTGCTCGATTTATTCAAAGACGATCTCGACGTTGCGTTCCTTAATAAAATTATTGTAAGCATGCGGCGCTATATAAATTATATGTTTTGTTGAATGATCCAATATTGCAGTTGCTTTCGAAAGGGCACTTGACTAGATCGGCGAGGTACTGCGATTACTTCGCGGAAGTCAATTTCCGAATGGGAAGTTGCGTTTTAGCGCTGTGCGTAAAGGCGATGCTGCTGAAAGGAGTCGAACCTACCGAAGCAATATATCTGTTGCAACAGTACAGTTGCACGGCGGTCCTTCCATCTCAAGTATTGACGATTTTAACAAACTGTATTCACAATATACCGATAGTACAAATCGATTCGATTTTGAACATTTGTAAGTGCGAATTGTGTAGATTGTTGTCGAAAGTTTAAAATATAAAAAGTGTTTCAGGCGAAGACATTTTGAAGCACAAATGTCCGGACACTTCGTTGAACACGCTGAAAGCGTCGCTGATTGTTTGGAAGATACAATTTACCGTTTTCGATGAGAATTCTCGAAGATCCCTGAAATGCATCGACAGGATTTTACATACAAAATACAAGACAGAAGATGCAGAAGATGTGTTGGATTCAGCCCAAATTTTGGATGCTGATCTTTACCTGTCGCAGTGCTTTAGACCTGATCTCGAATTATCCGATATGCCTCGTGAACTGATCTCGCAAATATTTAACCCACTGCTCGGCGTCATCTACTCTGGGGACTGCGAGAACGCCTCAAGGATTCTGCAATCGCTATTGAGTTATTGCGAAGTACGACCGAAAGATACTTTCAAGTTGCTTCCGGTTTTATTATACAAATTGGCAAACTCGCAGAATCCGCAGCTCAATTTGTCGTTGATCAAGGCGCTACCTAAGATGGCCGTACTAAAAGAAAATTTGGCTGTGGTAGTGACGACGCTTAAAGCTGTAGCGAAGGCGTCCGGAATTATGCAGACGTTGGTCCTGTCCGCGTTCTACGAACTTTTCCTCGTAGATTCGAAATGCTTTCCATATTTACAAGAGTTCCTTATAAAGGAAAATAAGGATGACATTGAACAGTACACTTTGAGTCAGGCGTACATTATAAAAGAGATTTGCAGGAAGAAGTGAGTGAACGATCTAATCATATAATCATTATTTTATTTTCCTTTTTTCTTGTTGTAATATTTACATTAGTGTGGGCTTAGAAGTGTTCGGCAGTGAGCTTACGGTTCATTTATCAAGGATATTGAATAAAAAGGATTTGCATTATGGCATGGCCCAGGCTTTGGCCTTCGAAGGTTTGAAATATCTCTGCAGATATGATATTGTTGACGTGGCTTCGGCTTGGTATAATTTGGCGCCACGTTTCGAAAATGAGACGAGCACTAGGATTCTGATTAGGTAAGAGAAACAAACAAAAACGCTGGATGCTCTTATAATGTAATGAATGTACGTGTATTTAGCATCTGCGACTTAATAACGGAAGTATCAAATCTGTACGTGGAGAGTCAAAAATATGACAAGTTAGTAAACGATGTTGTGAAGAAACTGTGGGATTTTACATTGACGACGAGCAGCGCTGATGTATTGGGGGCAGCTTACAAGGCTTTGGGGTGCTTTAGCGTTGAACAGATTACCACTTCAATCCCTGAAATGTATTTGGGTGAGGGTATCGTTGTAAGCGCAGTCGGAACTGTGCCAGGTTGGTGTGAACAAAAGCTGTTTCGCTGCCGCCATCTCGTTTTCACACGTTATTTGTGTTGCAGGGAATACCTGGATACAAGTTCTTCTTCGAGGCAATAGGACCGGGTTGAAAAGCGCGACCGACATGGTTTCATGCTTGATTGCCAAGGAATTAAAGGGTTACAGGAAAGGAGTGTATGAAGTTTCCGAGGGACACGGCGAACCTACGTCGATGAACGTCTCTCGCAATAGCATCACCGCAGCTGTTGCTAATTACGTTAGGATTAATGTAAGTCATTGAAATAACTGTAGATTACATCAATGGATGGATAACCAGAAACGTATCTTAGAATTCCAAGTGGTCGCGTGGTACGGACAAAGATGTGTATCTGGAATGTTTACGTATTCTTGGGAAGAAGTACGCTAAGCCTTTACCGCCGATGGATTGGAATTTCTTGCAGGAACTGATCCATGTGCCGGTGGCTCGTAAATATGCGGTGAATATACTCTCCAGACAGGTGGCATTGTCGGGAACGGCGCGACGTCTGCTGGAGAACTATTTGGTGGCATTGGCGGAAAAGTCCGATATGACTTTGGACGAGTGCAACGGAATTTATGAAAATTTGAAATCACTGTGCAACAGCATTCAACCGATAACATTAAAGCCGTTCATTGCCGCCTCGTTGCAGTTGGCTATTCACGAAAATAATTTGGATTTGATCATCGATTCTCTGAAAGCGGCTTTCACCGATCGCGACGTTTCGGAAACGAACAAGAACGTCATCGGCGAAGTTTTGGTTTATATCAGCGAAAATTTAGATTTCGAATCCGAGGTAAACAACAACTTTTTCATATTTTTATATAATTTACTTGATTCTGATTTATTTATGATGATAAGATGTTCGATAAAATGCTGGGAGTGTTGTGCGTTCTACCAATCGAGCTGATCGATGATCTCAGTTGCCCGAAACAGTATTCTTGTTTAACGACAAGGATCGTGGATAGGTGTTTGAAAATAAGGCTGTCGGCTGCTTTGGTCTCCGATAATCCGTTCACGTTTCTCGACAACTTTATTGATTGCCGTGCTCTACGCCTTGATATTATTCACGAGGAAAAGAGTAACATGTAAGTTTGCAACTGGCAACTGGCAGTAATCGGTATAATTGAATTCTATCTATTTAATCGTTCAGATCTTTCGAGGAATGGTTCAAGTGGAGCAAACATGTATTCGTAAAGCATCGTTACCACAAGAAATGCGTTCCGTGGTTCGTAGAGTTGATGGCTAAAATTCAACTGGAGTTAGCGTCCAGTCAAAAGGTGGATTCTGTTCTGTTTGCGATAACCGTCTTCGTGGGTGGAATTTGCGCCGTGTCCGGTTTCCACGTGTTCGAACCGGAAAGCGATGTTTTCACATTCATCAGATGTTTTCCGTACGCTCTCAGCAACGTCGTCTCGATGGACACATTTAAGCCGCACATTGTTCAGGTATGTTTTGATTTGTTTATCTCACAGTTAAATAAATTTATTATTTTTGCATACTTTTCTTAAAGATTTTGGAATGGCTCCATGATATGTGCACCAATAAGAATTACATTAAATCTGGACAGGCTGAGAAATATATTGAGGTATTCAAGCAAAGCCTTCTAGTGCTAAGGAACAACGAAGCGTTCAATGAGAACTACAAATGGATGAAGTTTATAGATTTATAGGAGATCATATTTTGTTTTAGTTTGTTTCATTTCTTTCCCTCATCTATACATAAAATCACATTATTTTTTAAATAATAAACGTGTTCTTCTGGATACAACTGCTCTGCTTTTCTTTCTCTCTCTCTCTCTCTCTTCATCTTCTAATTCGAATCTGCGTATTTCTTCATTTAATAGTTTAAAACAACTAATTTTTATTTAATCAACATATCATGTTGGTGTCGTTTGGTTTGGTATCTTTTTTTTTTTTGGTACATTGATCAAGAATCACAACATATAAATATAGTATTCTTTAAGTATTGTTCCACATACCAGATGGGAATTCTTCTCATAACAATAAGACTTAATTATATTTATCCTATCCGTAAACGTTACATTCCTTATGTTTTTTTTTCTTCTTACGAGTGTATTTACTGATTTGCGATGACAAACAAAAAAAAGCAAATAAAATTAAAATAACAATAATAACAGTAATAGAATAATGACGTGAAAATTCTGAGGCTAAAACGGAACAAAAAGAGAAAAGAAAATTTAAAACAATCCGTTCGTTAAAGAGTCAACTGATTTGGTCCGTTGTATGTGATTGAAAGCTGAATCGTTGTTGAGTTTGGTAATTCACGATCTAGATCCAGACCCAGATCCAACATTGAATTACCAAGAAAACGAAACATATAGTAAAGTATATAGTAACGTGTGTCTAGGTTTGGAAGAGATCGATGGAAGGGTTATCCCTAGAATATGCTACACACATTTCCCTTCCTCGAATAGAGTAGTACACATTGAATGAGAAGTTGCCAGAGGACGATGTTTCGCTTCTTTCTTTCTTTTTTGTTTTGGCGAGGAAAAGAGATCAAGATGGCTGGGAGGATTACAACCAGCGCAAAGGCCCATCCGAAAAAGGTACTCGTTCACAAACCAGTAAAAACGCAAATTCCATTGTTTCTTCCCCTTCTTCTTCTCTTATTTTTTTGTCTGTTTCATTCTTTGTTGAGATTTGAAAAGATCGTGGATTGCTGCGTGGTAGGTGGTCAGCAAGCGCCGCTTTCGCTTAGATCGAACTCGGCGAAATCAATCTCCGGGTCGCCGTAAGGTACTTCTAGTTCCTCTATTGTTTCCTCTACGCCTGGGCCACGTAATTTTAGAAACACCAGTTCCTCGCATCCCTCCATCGATAGTATTATAGTCTGGCCTTGTAAACTCATATCGCATGTAGTTATATTGAGACTTGTAGTGTACACAGCGACCAAGTTACCTTTACATTCGTAACACAAAAAAAAGAAATAATTCAATACAAATGTAAAAGTTATTGAAATAGTTACCTTTGTTCAAATCCCACACTCTGATCGATTTGTCTCTTCCTTGAATGTCGGTTGATAGGAAGAGAACACCGCGTGGTTCTAAACGTAAATAATTCACCGGCGCAGTGTGTCCCTCCAATGTCCATCGGCAATTCCCTGCAATACAATACATTAGTTATGGGTATAATTGTATTTATACAAGGACAAGGACCTGTAATCAAGTCCCAAACTAAGATTCGGGCATCCTCCAAACCAGAGATAACACAACCACCTTGAGAGCTAATTTCGAGTGAAACAGTATCGCAGGACGGTTTCCACTTTTTGAATAATGTCCCACTTTGTAAATCGTAGACGACAATGAAATTCGGATTCGGCTCGTCGATCTCGTGACAGACACAGCAAACGTAATTACCTAAGAAGAAAGGTAATATATTGCAAGAATATCGTGAACTGTTAGTTTCTCTTTCGATTTTACCTTCGTAAGTAATGGCAGATAGGGATGTGATAAAATCGTGATGAGGTATTCGAAGATCGTAAAGTAATTTCCTCGACTGCAGGTTCCAAACGAGCAATGGGAACGGTTTCTGCGTTTCATCGCCGCACACCAACACTCTAAAAATGAAGATGAAGATGAAACGAATGTGTGTTTATGCATGTTTCGAAAAGTTACCTTCCATCCCCAGAAACGAGCAGAGAATTAAGGAAGCGATCTTCTCCAGCTTTGAAAGTCGTAACGCAATCACCTGAAAATTAACGAGCTGAAAAATTGTCGTTCTCATCTCGAGAGTTGATCTCTTAAAGTTTACCCGTTTCCAGATTCATCAAATTGACGTACATCCGATTCCTGCTGAGCGCGACAAGATGTGAAGCATCGTGGAGGCCGTAATACGGCATCTTTTGGTTCATGACACCTTTCAGTTTGGTGAGGAAGGTGCCCGTGTTGAGATCGTAGATGCGCAACTCCCGTTGACATAGCACTATGCATTTGTGCTGGTTTATCGGTACCAGATTTGTCGGATGAGGTATACCTTTCAGAAGTCTCACTCTTTCCCACCTGAAAAAAAACACGTAAAAACATGAAAATAATTCATTTTTTGAAGAAGGTAAGAAGTACTGACCTTGCCGCATTCCAGACGCTAATTTGTTCGTCTTCGGTTGAAATACAGGCGACGAATTGGTGCGTCTCCGGTAATCTGACTATCAGGTCGTAAGCTTTTCTGCGTTTGGTGGCGTGCTCATCTTCGACGGCAATGTCCAAGCAATAATTTGGAATCAACGAAGGTATCGGAGGATCTTTGCATATAGAGAATATATCGGAACAGATGTCTTCGCCTTTCGGTTGCAGCATTGATAGGAAACTGTAGAATTGCGAGTAAAATTGCCGTCCATCGTAGTTCAAAACGTTTACGTATGTCTCGAGGAAACTTTGCAGTACGGCGACGGATTCGTTTAGAGAAATCCCTTCCTGCTTGCACAGATGAATGTCCTCCAGCAGCTGGAAACAATTGGAGCCACACACTTTATCGTATATCCAGTTCAGGTCGTTCAAGTAATCCGAACTGGACAGTTTTTCGCTTCCGTGCAAATAGTAGTAATGGTATGGAAGTTCATCCAGTTTTCTACGATTGTAGCTGCAAAAAAAAATAAAAACAATATGAAGTTGTAGTTTAATAGATAGACTGCTAGTACCAAGTTCCTAGAAGCGTATCTTGACTAATTAATCTGGCAGATAGATTGGCTTGTGGTTGTTCGCTCCACCATTTACCCTAAAACAATAAGTATAGTTACTATTCTGTTTGCTTGAATTCCTTAATTTACATTAACTAACATTGTAATAATTGAAAAGCATCTCGTGGGCCCAATTCGAGTACGATTTGTAGCGTTTCTTTACAGCCTGCAGAAGCATGTTGTCGCGCCACTGCACACCCAAGACTGTACCCGTCAATGTCCATTGGAGGAAGGGCGCGAGATGTTTGTTGAGGCGAGACCAGGCGAGACAGGCCGGTGCCCAAGATACTGAAACGTAAAAATTTAAATATAGATTTATAGACAATAATAATTATAATAATACCATAAGTTGTATTGTTTTGGAATATCTCATCGTGCGCTAGCAAATCTAACATTTCCGAATCGGTGATGCCGTGCTTCGTCGAAGTCATGATGGCGAGAGCGTGTTCCACTTGATTTTGCCCTAAAATCGTTTCCAATTCCTCCAACATCAGTGTAAGTTGATCGTCCACTTGGCCTTTCGGCACGATGACGTTCTCCTTGTCCGCCCACCAAGACGTTTGCCAAGCCAACACCTAAAATCATTGTTCTTCAATAATGATGACAGGAAATTTAATGGGGTTTATTTGATATGCAACTTTTGTGTACAAGGGGAGCGTGCATTCCTGCACCGATTTCAAAACGCAATCTTGTATTTTCGAGTTGACGCTATGATTGTACTGCATGACGCTCGACATCAGGATGCCCTTCGCCTCCAGTTCTCCCAAGACGGGCATTCTGATGAAACTCTCCTCTGGTATCACTTTGACCATATCCTTATAAATGTCGCTGTTCTCTGATACGGAGATGATTAACTTAATGTTATCCGGCAACTGGAGCGGTAACCAATCGATCACCTTCGAACTGTACATCTTCACTTGTTCGATTCCATCCAACACGACGATCAGCGGACGTTGCATGCAGCTCGCCATCAGCAAGTTGGGTAACGCATTCTTGTAATTGTCTATTGTCTGAAGGGACAAGAGAAAGGGAGAGAATGGGAAAGAAATTAACGATTATTTTCAATTGTGAATTTGTGAGCTCTTTGTTCTTACGTGCGCCACCGACGATTTGTGTCCGTAGGTCAAGATGGAGCATTGGTGTGTTATTGAACTGAGTAGTTGCTCTATTGTGCTGGATTGTGCGCTGATGCCAACAAACCTCAGGACCAAGAACGATTCCGGTAACCATTGGCTAGTGCACTGAGCGATCCTCGCGAGGAGCGTTGTTTTTCCGCAGCCTCCGGGCCCATAGATCACCAACGGGGAATGGTTTTCAGTTAAAATATAACTGAAAGAATATTATAAATATTTTAGATAAAACAATCATATCAGCAAAGTATAATTATTTGTATAATTAGATTGCGTATAGAGTTGTAAACTTACTTTTTAATATCAGAAATAGTTTTTTCGCGATTGACACTGCACTGGGCGGCTTTCTGGCAGAACGTGGTCTGTTGATTGAGTTCCTCGAAGATGCTCGTATCGATGCCGTAGCTCGGCTTCAGGATATTTTTACTTTGGTGTTCGTCGATGATGGCATCTATCATTTCGGTTAGGTGCTTATTCATATGTCCGAGCACCTGTGATATGTACTGAGCGTGCTCAGGTATTTCCATGTTCAGGCCACCATCGACGTACTTTACGGGTAATCTGACAATGTGCTTCTCAGCCAACTGATTCTACAATGCACAAGACAGAGAGAGGTAAGAAATGTAATACAACATGATAGATATTAACATTACCCGTAAATCCCTTTGCAGAATATTGAGACGTCGGAAATGCTCCGATTCGCCCGGACTCGGAGGTTCGTTGGTGGTCTTTTCGCCCGGCGTATACACCCTGTTGATCCAGATGCAGCGCTTCGCCAATTCCTGGCTCATGAATACCGTATTATGCACTTCCTGCTCGACGACCGTCGTCAGGTAAGTATCTCTGAGCTCCTGGCTGAACACATTTATAAGAACGACCAGCATTCTTTCGATTTCACTCTGCCACTCTTCGAGTGCCTTCTCTCGATCTTCAGTTGAAGTCTCTTTGAAGCCGGGAATATGGGAGGAAGTGGACTGAAGCCTGTAGCAGGGCGGTTGCGCCGCTTCATCAAGTTTATACCACTTGGACAATAGACTTTGAGCCGATTGATCCTCGACGCTGTTCATCGCCATCTGGAAGTCTGAACATTCTATGGATATCGGCAACAGGGGCGTTCCCAGCGAGTTGTTCAGGAATAGAACGGGAATCACGTAAGCCACCTCCATTTGACCTGGAACACAATGTACAACAACAACAAAAACATTAAGTATACTGTGTAAGCTAGACACATTGCATTGCAATTAAGAAGATAGGTACGTGTCAATTCGCCGATGCACAGCTCTGGAAACTCGTGATCCTGCTGTTTCTCCAAAAGCGTTTTCCAGTGAAGATCAACGATATGCAGTTCGTATCCTTTCAATCGACAGCGCGCACGCAATTCAGGATATAACGCGTTGTGGAGTGCTCCCTTTTCCACGCAACAGTCTGCAACCAAAGAGAATAAAACAATTTGATTTGCTTGCATTTCAAACAAAAGAAAATAATTAATAAGGACCTTGCGAATCGGCAGCGCACACGTAAATCACAATTTTTCTAGTTTTCGAAGCGGTCTTGGCGAAGCTCACTTTTCCCATCAGCAAGTTTTGCAATTGCTCGGAAAGACTGGCCAACTCCGGAGGAACATTGCCGTCGATAATCAGATCCCTCGGGCTGACGATGCCTGGCGGAGAGCTCAGAGAAAGAGAATCTGCAAGGAATGAGTGTTAGTGGACGAACGAAATCAAATTGTTTCATCGTTACCTGAAACACTAGGTGCAGCTATTCCTCGGAGTATCTTCGACGGTACCTTCTTCTCGTTACCAGTGGACGGTGTCGTGGCATTGGAAACTTGCTGTATCGCCTGTTGACCGGCAGTCGAGGGCTCCAGAAGGACGCCCCCCGTATGGGTAACATGGTTCATAAGGACCTGCTGTTTATCGGAAGGTAGGCTGGCTCGAATCTGGTAGCTACCAGATCTGAAGAAATGCAATCAATTACAAAGGAAGAACAACAAAAACAAATTTCATTTTTAGAATAACTTGGGAGAAATATATTTGGCCGCTGTCCGCGAAAACTTGACGCAGATCGCCTAATAATATATATATAATAAATCTGGCAATACTCTGTTTCGCGGATTACTCTTGCACAAAAAATGTTAACTATCCACCCGGAGGGATCAAAATCCACGCTGCATTTACTTATTTTCCTCGCTTGTGTTCAAAATACAACTATTACGCTATTTATAGATTGCGAATATTTTAAATGCATCATCTATTCACGTATTCCCCCCATCCGAAACGTAAATTTGTCTATTTACAAATATATTGTTTTTTTTGTAAATACAAACAATCAAATATTTTCATTCCTCAATAAAGATAAACATGATTATTAATAGATTTTCAATATTTTGGCAATGATATGTATCATTTTTATCTTAATTACTATCAATTTGATCGATTTACTGCAGGATTCGTTTAAATATTGCATGAATGTGTGTAGCGGTAGAGTTTGCTGTAATGGAAGGACAGGCCTTTATTGCTAGCTGGTCCTTTGTATGTTGCGTCCATTAAGGACTGACCATATATGAAATAGTTGTTGGGACATACAATACATTTGTATCAAGTTTCCACACCGACTCTGTACACTCCATCTAACATAGTTGATGAAAGCCTAAAGCAATTCCATGTACTTTTTTACGACTATTTTACATGTTTTTGACAAAAGAAAAAAAGACGCAATTACAGTAAATTTATACTAATCATAATAATTATTGCATCATTACATAGTGGAAATGGTATACGTATTAAATAATTAGTTAAATTGGAAATTATCAATGACAAAACATATCTGATTTATGATGAATTATAATTAATTAAATGCGCGAAACAGGTAACAGTGAAGTTCTTTGTTAGCAAATTCTGCAGACCGTATAATTTTCATTTACGCTTCTGCGTCTTTAATAAAAATGTATGAGTATTTATGAGTTTCCTTTAAATTCAATAATATTATTGAAAGACAATTTGAAAAAAAAAAAGCGCGAGATAAAAGAAGAACTTTCAAACTCAATGAAAGTTTTATTAATGCGATTATATAAATTTAATTGATTGCAGTCACAGTTTCGTGTTGTATTTATGAAAAATGAAATATAATTTTTAGTATCAAAAAGTAAATTTACGAAGGATTCGTATCAGTTTTTTGATATTATTCAAATGATAATCATTTCTGTGTATAATAAATTGTATTGTTGTTGTCGTTATTATTGTAAATAATGAGTAATAATAATTTTAATTCCGATAGTTATAAATATAATTGTTAATTGTGCAGATTATATTGTTATATTGATAATATAATATAAAGCAAACAAAATATTTGTTTATATTATTGCTGTTGCTATTATCAGAGGATGCAGAAGTAATATGGATGGAATTCAATACAGAATCAACAGATATTGCGTGCGTCTCGCTACACGCACATAAAAATATACAATACAATATACACTTTTATGTTTGTTGGCTATGTACACAAATAGTAGGAATGATGATGACAAAATGATAATTAGAAAAAAAAGTGTATTGGATTGTATATGTATGGAGTATTTTATGGATTTTTGGGTTGTGCGACGAGATTTATCCTTGAAATTGAATTTCTCATCGGCCTGGATCTGGGGGAAAATAGGTCAAAGGAGTTGATATCTCTTCTCTCCCTCCCGACGCAAACCAACCACTAACGCCCACCCGCCGCACCACTCACCCCCGCCCCATATATATCGTATACGTGCGTCGGTAGGTTCGTCGTGACGTCATTGGATGACGTCAGGAAAGTTGGGGACGTAGTCGATGCCTGTTTACTATAGGAGTTGTAGGTAGGAAGGAGGATGACTTTGAATATGATGCGAAAAATAAAATAATAATGCGTAAGATGAGCGAGAGAGAGATCTATGAATAGAAACGCGTCGCAATGTAGGAAAAAGAGATGAACAGATGGAGCAGGGAGAGTGAGTGAGTGAGAGATAGTGAGATAAACACTTACTCTTCGGACCTTTGGGACATGTTGTCCTTATCCTTGTGTCCCTGTCCGCTGCTGCAGGAGTTCCCCATTTTCGCTGCGAGTACTCGGGTCCTTCAAGAGCGCTCATACCATGACATCAAGACCATCTTCATCATCTTCATACAGGTTCTTCAGCGTGCACGCACGGGCCTCGCTTCTGCCTCTTTCATTATCATTATTATTAGCCCCAGTTAAATATGTATTTAGATATATATATATATATAAATAAAATACCAACAAACAAACAAAAAAAACTAACTTTCGATTCGATGGTAAGCCGACGACTCTCTTTCGCCGCGCATCGGGTTTATCTTAAGTGTTGTGGTTGTTTTCTTCTTCTATTGTTATTCTTTTTTTCCGCCGTTTGAATTTGCCGCGCAGCACAAAGAGAACCACCGTTTAATGGGTAAAAGATCGCGTTTCCGGCGTGACGGTGACTTCCTTCTGGGTCCGACGTCGGTGGCCGATCGGTATCGTTTGGTGCATGTCTTCTTCGTGTCCACTAAAGATAGACACACAGCCAGCCAGCCAACCAACCAACCAACGAACGAACGGACGAACGTTGGAGAGCGCGCGCGAGTCTGCCACTCACGACAATATAATCAATGTGTCGGGACGCCAAGGCGACGACGCGCGAGCACGCGCCACCTCCGACGCCGACGCCGACGGCGTGACGTCAAAAGCGTCGTCCCATCCCCACCCCACACACACACACTCTCTTATAGGATTTATTGTAAAAGAGAAGCAAAAAATAAAATACACTAGTACTCGCTAACATCTCCAACAAAAACAATAACAACAACAACATCCAAGAAAATCACTTCATCATCTTGAAAACAACAATAATAAATGTCTCAAGCTTTATCATCATTTATCATGTTTTCTATTAACTGACAACACAAAACAACATTGAAGGATGCTGTTTTCATTTTAATTTGTAATCATATTATTATTATGAACCTTCTTCATTGGATCTAAGTAAATAAATGTTTCAATTGAATCAATTTCAATTGAATGTTGTTGTTTTCTTTTTGAAAATGAATTGCTCCGCTCTCGATGTGCCATCAATAGCAATTGAATCAATTACAATTAGAACAAAAACAACTTTTATTATTACATAGCAAGTAAACAACAAAAATCACTATAAATCATTTCGAAAAATACAATATTATAATATTTTATTATATTTACACACACACATATATATATATTTGCAGGATCAACTATAAAACTAATCAAGTTTTGTATTTCCTAAGATAATTTATTTAAAAATGTACATTTCAAATAAATATGTATTTGGTAAATAAAACAGAAGGTTTTGAAAATCTTGCAAATATATTATTATCGTACCTAAACAATATGTCATCATAATCATCATCAATTCTAAATAAATCTACTTTTTTTTTTAAATATAAATAAATTAGAATGTAATTAATATTTTTATATATATAAATATAATACAAAATAAATAAATTTCCTCCTCTTCTCAGGGTTCTCTTTTTTACATGTGTTACAAATATTTCTTATCTCAGAATGACGTTGTCGAAGTAGTCCTTGCCCTCTCTGCAGGTTTGTTGTCTCCTGAATGGATTCCAGGAGAGCCGTTTGTGATTGTTGCTGTGATGTTGTGCCATAGATCCGGATGGACTCGACAAGCCGCTGGATACGCCGGAGCTGCTGCTGTGCGTCGAAACTGATCCCTTGTTGTTGTTGTTGTTATTGCCGTTCTTCGTCGGCTAAATTATAAGGCAATTATAAGGCTTTACAGTTTATTAGGTGCGAAATATTTACCTTCAGATAGTTTCGGTCCATCGGTGTCACCAGCTTCAAATTGAGCGTGTCTTCGGCGCTTTTTATAAGCGCTACGACCTCATCGTGCGAAGCCCACTTTACGTCCACGTCACTAATCGATACGATGAAATCTCCTTCTTTCACACCTCCAAACTAAAATCACAAAAAAATAACAATCAAAAAAAGTTACAAATTGTTTCAAGAACAATAATATAAATAATAATTTTGCCATATCTAAGTTCTTTGATTTTAATTAAAATCTTGTTTTCGACCTTCGTTATTAATTGAAATTGTTTCTCATAAATTTTTTTTTTTCGTTTGCTTCTACAAAGACTTTTTAATGACTTGGCGATGCGAACTGAATCGGACGTGTTTTCAATTAATTTTCCGTTGGAAATAAACTGAGCAAAAATGAATGAATGAATGAACTGTTGAAATTACCTCGCTTAACGAATTAGATTCGACGGCTGTTATGATGACGGGCGCATCGCCTCGTACAGAAAACCCGAATCCATCTACGGTTCTTCCTCGATGAAGTTGGACGAGACGCGGTGCTGTCCAATGTCTCTTGGCCGAGAAGATCGCGATGGGTCCAAGGGATTTGAATAAATCGTTGACCCGATACTGTGCAAAGTCCGGTGGAGTCAGAGACAATTGAAATTTGGTGGCGGCTGAAATGTTCAGAAAATATACCAATTGATAATTGTATTTTAATATTAATATTACGTTGAACTTGAGGTGAATCCAGGAGATCCCGGAAATCGTCTTCGGCGTCCTGTGCTGTATAGACTTGAAGGGATGATCTGTGAGCTATCCGCAGAACGGAGATGAGCGCCAGCTTTCCCTTCAGTTCTCTGCACATCCTGTGCAACCTTTGGCCTTCCTCGTGCAGCACCAACGCTTCCCGTAGATGTGCCCTACCTAATTGGAAGCAAGTGATTAAGATATCGATGATTCCGTCGAACGAGAATGTTTTTACCTAGAAGCTTTCTTTCAGTCTCATCTTTGGGAACGCGAATGTCGAGTTGCGTCGAGGCGCATTCCACGTGCAGGAATTGCAAAGTGTCTTTAGTGGCGGGCGACATATTCGGTGCGTCCTTGTGCAGGACTCCGGTGGCCGCATGGTAATGTGCCATGCCCATATGGTATTCGCGCTTCACCTGCACCAAAGCGGACCAACTGTACGGCACGTAATCTTTGACGGTCTGCTGCGAGATCAGCTCGAACACATGACCATAACACTCGGATAATTGAGCAGCTTCTTGCGCTAGATCGAAGCAAATGTCTATGGGCCGGTTCTCCTGCGATTGCAGATCGAGTTTTTCCAATAGACATTCCCTCGCTTGAGCCTTGAGAAGAACAACACAATGTAATAAATAGGGAAGGCAATAAAATACAATTTACGATTTTACATACCAGCATCAACTGTATGAGCATTTCGAGCATCTCAGGTCCTAGATCCATTGAAGGTGCATTCGTAAAGTTCTCGTGGATGTACCTGAAGGTCCCAGCGGCCCTCAAGAAACTGTCGACGGCCGCGTCGAGGCCCTTCGACGTGCTCCTATCCTGTTTAGCACCGATCTGTGTATACACCGCTCCCATGTTAAATAATACGCAAGCTTTCTCGAAAGCTACAGTCCTCTGACACGATGGCACACCTAAAACATACTTTATTATATTTGTTGAAATAATAATAATAATGAATTACTCACCGGTAAGCGAATCGAACCATTCGAAATAGATGCCCAGAGATCGGTCCGGCGGAAAGAATCGCCTTTCCACAAAGTACAGTTGATTGTAATAGCGAAAGAGGAGCGCGATACCCGATGAATCTCTGAGAGGCGTTCGCATGGCCTGCAAAATGAATATTCATCAATTTGAAATGGAGAAGAGAAAGAAAGAAAAAGAAACGAAACCGTTCGAGAATCAGTGAAGCTGCATTTCTATCTTTTCGTTGCTATCATCGTTGTAATTGTTATTGTTATGTGAGTACCGTAACATCTGGCACATACCTGTCTCGTGTCCATGAAATCGGCTATGGCATCCTCATACTGGTTCGCATCTTCGCTGTAGTGCTCCAAAATGAAGTCCTTGAATGGGTCTTGAAAATCAATCTCCTTCGTTTCCTTCAGACCCAAAGGTATCATTGGCATAATCGCATCAGTGCTGTAACACAAAGAAACATTAACATTATTATTATCATTATAAATACAAATAAAAAATACAAAAGGTCTAAGAAAACTTCGCCAAGTTGGCTGAAAAATAAAAACAATTTTATTTCATCACAAATTGACAAAGAACCGTTTGTTTTTCAAGAAACAAATGAATTATCGCCTACTTGGCGAACATTTTTATTGGGCCCCTCGTAATTAGTACGTTACACAATAATATCAACTTGCAATTGCAATATGATAATGAAAAATCTCTGACCTGTCGCTTTGGTAAATCTCAACAGAGGAATTCAGTTCGGCCAATTGTTCTTTTAGTAATTGCAAATTGGAGTTTACGAAGCTCAGCTCGAGGGCCACGGTCTCTCGCAGCTTCCGGTTCGTCGTCGCTTTGAAGAGGTTCTCCGCCCCCGCCCGTAGCCTCAGTTCCTTGTTGATCTCTTGGTTCAACTTTGAGCGGCGGTTTTGCAACTTGCCCCTGCATGTTGCCACCCTCGGATCCGAACCCTGCAACACAATGAAAATAATTACATTAATATAATGGCATTATTACATAACATAATTCAGTTAAACTAATACTAATTATATATATACAAATAATGTAGGGATGATGATGATGAACATTGCTTTACTTTCGTAACTTCTCATATGTCATATACACGTCAACGCTTACTTAACGTACATCCTTTTAAAAGACGTCCTCTATTAGATACATAAAAATACCAGTAATAGTGAAAGAATCATTTTTTTAACATTGTATATGTTTTACTTATATGAAGTTAATTAATTGTCAATTGTTGACAGCAAGGTACATAAAATCAAGTAGGATTAATTGTCACTTATTGACAGCTATGTCAAGTTTTCCATCAATGCAAGATCTGACTGTTATGTCATATGAAAATAGTAATGTTAAAATGCTTACCGCAATGATGAGCAATTCGGGCGGCTTTAAGCGTAAACTCTGCCTTTGTACCCACTTTAGCATATTACTATTAGGCGCGCCAAAAAGAAAAAAAAAGGTTTTCTTTCTTCCAAACAATGCAAACAATACAAACAACAATAACAATAATAACGGGAGATGATCAAAATCAATTCGCTAATGTATGCATTATGCCGCGATGACCGCAGTTCTTTCTCCGGTTTCTTCGGAACTATCCATAATTGCAAGAATTAACCGAACCATCCAGAAACAATCAGTGTGTAACAGCAGCAGCAGTGTGTGGTTCCGAAGCGCTCTAATAATGAGCGGGGGCGGCGGCGATATCTGAAGAATGTGTTGTTGAATTTTCAGTGCGAAGGAAACAACATTTTTGTCACCGCGCGGCGGTACCTGGCACCTGGCACCGGGCACCAACCAAAGAAGAACTGATTGTGTCTGCGAGAGTGGAGTGGAGGATGCGTACATCTGGTGCATAAGAGAATATAGCGGTATCCGTTTGGATACAGTTGTAAAATGAATGGCTCAAACGCCGAATTTTTATTTCCACTTACATCTATAATGACAAGACAAGACGGGGGGCTTATTTACCGTTTCATTTACGTCTTCGTCTTCGGACTTCTCTGCATGCACAGCATTCAATATAATCGAATTCTGGAGCACATCTTTCTCTCTATTCCTCTCTTAACATTTTCTTAGAGATATTAAAAAACAATAAAAACGAGAAGTAGCGGCCTCGTTGAACTGTTTTAAACCTCAACTTTATTACCGACTTGCACATAATTATTACTGATTTATTTTAATGTGACACACTTACGGCGCCTCCCGTATTTGCCTTCACCTGAAAATAAACGCCAACTCGATGATACAGTTTTCAATCCGCCAGTTTCATAACAACAACAACAACAACAGCAACTAATAACAACAGGATTCAGTTTGCCCATTTCTTATTCGCATTCTCTCACATCTAGTTCATGCAAATATATACAAATGCATTTCTTAAGTTACTAACATCGGAATACTTAATATAATCACGGAACTAAGTCTCTTAATATGTTTACTTTTAATTCAAATATGTTTCTTTATAGGAAAACTAGTTTTCTCCTTATTAAAGTCCTACATTTATAACTTTTAAACATCTTTAAATATCTACTAACGATTATTTATTTTATTTCAAAGTTAAACATAAAATCATATATACGAGAAATTTCACCAGCAAATTTTAAACTATTAATTTGTATTTGATTTTTAGATCTTGTATTAAATATTGTATTAAAAAAAATTGTATCTGAAAATCTGTACCGATTTTGTAATTTTGCTAATGGTTTTGTTGTTGCTATTATTATACATTTATCTCGTACTATTATAATGGGAATGTTCCAAGGGCATTTCCGTGCATTAAATAAAATTTATATAAAACACAACCAATTAAATATGTTCACTTTCAGTAGGCACACAACAAGTTGATCACTTATTAACGATTCTGTTATTATCCATTTGTTTTTATATTTAATCATAAACTATTTGATTTTAAAAGTGATGGTTATAAAACAATTGATATTCACGGTGGATACTTTACTTGCTAGGACAAGTATAAAACACAACTAATAATATAAAGTATATCAACAATTATAGAGACAATTGATTAAAGGTGACTTTCTCCTTTTCGTATCTCTTGTTGTCTCATCAGAAGAGAAATGCAATCACTAACCATGACAATTGTTTTTGTTCTTTTTAAATACAACTATTATAAACAACACGTTTATATTTTAATGACGATACTAGAAAGGGATGAAAACATTGTTATTTTTTCAATAATTTATATTTGTATGTATACAAAAAAAAAGTAAATAAACAAAATGTATGAGAGAAAGAGTCGTTGACTTGATTTGAATTTGTAATAGCGCAAGTGTAATTTAGTGCTAAATATTAAATTTGGAATGAACTTGCTACGTGTTAGTATTCGTAACGACTTGAACAAAAGTTTAAAAAATTACGATAACTTGAGATATGTTTATAAAATTGTGTTGATGGTTGAAGGTGGATGATTCAGGTGGTCGGAGTATCGGCGTGACACAAATTTAGTCAGATTCGTGTGTGTGTGCAAATAAATTAAACATCGAGGCGTATATTTACCAAGAAGTAAAACAGGAAATGCGAGAGCCGGTCACTTGGGAGATCAGACCACGACGGTCTTTCTCTCACATCGCTCCAGAGAAAGTGGAAACGTGATAGAAGATACGTTTTATCGATGTGCAGAAGAGAGATACTAAAGGATACTGCACACACGCGCGCGTTCGATGGCACGTTAATGGCCACACACACTGCCTCCGGCCACGAACTGTTTCCTCTTTTCCTCACACCACACCACACCAACACCACAGAACCGACTAACGGGATCGATGCTATTTTTCAAAACGCACGTTCCGAACCAATTGCTGCTTCCAGTTTGCCTTCTCTATCTCAACATCTTGGAATCCTTCTTTATCAGGTGCGAACATTAATTTGGTCTGGTTCAGACCCTCGAGGCGGCCCAAAATCGAACATCTCAACTCGTTGACCGAATAACAGAGAACCCGAGATTCTGTGCATGCTTTTATATTTACCTTGACATTAATCTCAGAAGATTCCAAGACGAGAAGAAGAAAAAGAAAAAATGATGGAGGAAAGAATTGCTTTCCATTCAAGAAAGTTGCGCGTTCTGCCAAGTCCATTTTTTGAGCTAGAATGGGAATGGTTGAATGTGCCCAAGATCAGTCTGCGCGGGTCAAAGAGCATCTGAGAACAGTACACACTTAAGCGGGTCAATTTCTAATAGTCTGCATATTTAGATTCTCAAAATACATTCGTTCATATACGAAAATTACGTTGGTTTATTCAAATTGTATCCATTTATTAATTAGTTTTTTTTTTCATACAACAACTAATTTGTAACTTCGACACTAACGACAAGGCTTAATTATACGCAACAGATGGCTATTAGGAAGAATAACGGACGCACTTTTAATTATTTTGTTTTTCCAACTAAAAATGTTAATTTACTGAGAATTTATCAGTATTTCATACTTAATTTTTTTCAAACATTAATTTTGAAATTGATTACAAGAACTGTTATTTACTTATACTATGTTAAATTAGTATAATCGTTTTGTTTTTTGTTGTATATTAACATCAACGAGTTCATTAACATCATTGGATGTCATGATTTGATTCGAATTCCAATTACAAATGAAATTGATTAATTTTTAAAAGTTACATGGGAACCAAGTGTTTAGAGTATGCAATGAAGAAGTGAAGGGAAAAAGTTCTCAATGGAGAAAAATGTGAACAATAAGAGACTGGTAGCAGATCGAATGTATTGAATTTAAATTCTTCGGATAATTGGAGCCATCATTAGAGTTTCTTACACCTGTTAGTGTGTTTCTCGGAGCGTGACCAAAAAAGGCCTCCATTGTGTTCTAAACGACGACGAAAACTATTATACAGTTACAATTCGCATGGATTCATGCGGAATTATGGTTGTTTAAAAACCATTACGAAAAAGAAAAAACAACAACAAAAATAATACGAGCAGAAGTTTTTCCATTTATTCAACAACAACAACAACAACGCATCAAGATCAAGGTTTTTTTTTTGCAGCAATGAACTCGCTTCGTAGGACAAAGACCAGAGAGAATCTTAATGTAATTTGGTATTATACAAGTCTGCTTTGGTCAATGAAATTATATAAGCGAGTCGATCATTTGCATTTGGTTTTGGTTAGAAGCAGGGAGCAATTTAAATATTAACTGTTCATCAATTAAGCAGATATCCGCTTCACTTGAATCAATTCAAATCTATATTATAAGTAAATTTCCTCTAATATGTATTATGTAAATCTTGTAATTAAAATAATAATAATGCTTATATGAAATTATTTGTTAGTTATATTGTTTTTGAAAGTACTTTTAAGTGGATTTTCTTTCTCGGCTCATGAATTAAGTGGAAGCATTTGAGGCAAGAAGATTTATTGAATAGATAAAAATGGATTAATTATTCCACGTGCATATAATTATCCCATTTGCATTGTAAATTCTTCCTTCCACTCTTCTCCCCAGTGTATTTTCATATTAGTTATTTACTTTTTAATTCGAATAATTGATGGTTTATATCCAAAAGAATAAAGTGTTTGTAAGTAAAAAGACCAGACTATAGGTATAGCTATAGTGATTCTAGAGAAGATGAGTAGACTTATCATATATTTTTGGTTTCAGTTGGAGAGAGATGTTGCCGTTTTGGTGCAGTCGTTAACGGAATTGAATTGAAACCGATCGGGGACCGAAAGGTGATTGACCAAATGAAGTGGCGTTTCCGTCGCGCTCACTGTTTTTCCTGCTTCTGTTATACACACACGTAATCACCGTACAATCGTCTTGCATACACACATCATTACGTCCATCCCATCGCCATCTATAGTTGTTAATAAATCGATCTACACGGCTACCGGTTTATACTTCTTACTCTATAATGTATCATTAATTCCATCGAGATGATTGCAACTATGAATTTATTTCTCTTTGCACCGGAAAAC